TACATTAAGTTTCACCTTGCAGCAGTATCAATTGCGTTGACGCAATTACATTGTCAAGACATTGATGCAAGGTCTTTAGCATCGTCGTTCAATGACGACATCTCCTTTCCCGACCCGAAACTGACCACAGTTTTGATAGTAAATACACCCTATCCAAACCCTAACGGGTGTGTGGGCGAATGACAGAAGAAATCTCTCTCCACCACATTTGTATGGGCGGCGCCTGACAGAAGCCTTCTGTCGAGGCAATCTGGCTGTGGTGCGCAGGCCCAAAATTTCTTCTGTCATTTCGCTTCGTATAAACTTTAGCTGGCTGAAAACCGTTTTTCTGGTCTCCAAATGCATTCGCATTTTGAAATATCATGTTTGTTTGCTAGTCCGCGACATACTGGGTCCATGTCGCCGTCGTTGACTCGTACGCAAGGCAACCTTGTCGCTATGGACCGCTACCTTGATATCAACTTAATGAACCACCATCAGTAGTTTCTGACCTCTACGATATATCTGTCTTTGTCCCAGAGCCTATATCTAATTGGCGCACTTGGTGCAGTTCGTGTGTTCATCACAGTATCGGTTGGCGGCTATCCGGTATGGTCTCCCCCAACAAGCTTGACACAACTTCATGACGGATGCGCGAAACTTGCAGGCCATCCAAACAGTGCGCAAGTTTTTCCAACTGAAAAATCTTTCAAGACGTGATACGATGCGGCTCTGCCGAATTGAACTAGCCGTATCATGCAGCTTGCCTTCATGTATCCCGTGTGGTTTTCACATGTCTCGACTCAGGTGACCATCTAGTGCTATATACGCAAAATGGGTTAGGCCGATATACTCACTTCTTCAAGAAAGATGGAAAGCAGTCGTGGACTGGAGCCATACGATGCAACACAATTCACTGCAGGCTGACGATGGTGACACGGTGAAGGTTGCGAGACATTCTTGCGGGACCTCTGCACCTCGCATTGCCTCGTTGCGGCGTCTTGATCAATTACGAGGAGCGAGAGAGATTGATTGGCTATGTGAAACTCTGTGCGCGGTGCTTTCTATCAAAGTGGTAGCGCCGACATGCCAAGGGCAGTAAACTGGCTGCGACAATCACAGATCTTCCAAACAACTTCATTCCGTAGAGATGTGCAATCAAATTCGCAATTGGCATTGACAGAGGAAATGAACACTTTCGGTTCCTGCATGTTTATTCAAGGCCTGGGTCATTTGACAGAAGAATTTTGCTTACTGCCTTCTTACATACAAAATGGGTCGACAGAAGGCTTCTGTCGAGGTGGGTCCCATACAAATTGGCTGGTTGCGACATTCTTCTGTCATTTGCGCGAACTAAGCTCGTATCCCTTGAACTTGGAATGATTCCGGTTCAGCATTGAAAATGAAATCTGTCTGATGTAATTTTATTTCTTTATCTTGACGTCTGGCTGAAATGACAGAAGAATTTGGCGTCCTACCTTATACCATACACAGTGGGTCGACAGAAGCCTTCTGTTAAGATGAGGTCCATACAAATTCGCAGGCTGGAGAATTCTTCTGTCATTTGCGCCAAACAAAGGTTTATTGCCTAGATCTTGATGGATTTTAGTTCCAATTCAAAGGGAATTCTCATGACTCGCCGCTGATATGACCCAGTCCTATATGCGATGAGATGTCGCTGTTGAGCGAAGTGGGACTTGGTGGCTCTGTGGGAACAAGTATGGCATGCAAGCGTCGTATTCACCACCCGTATCGTAAGCAATTGGTGCCATCCTGACATGATCGTGATTCGTCTGCAAGACATATACTGGCCGCATCGAGGACCCTAGCTGTATCGTTGTTTCAAGGTGCTCTATGGTACGATGGAGGGCACGACGCTAGACAGTCGATCGCATCAACGTCAAGTCGCAGAATGCACGGCTTCTCCGTGACAAGTCACCCAAACTGCTAGGACTCGTCTCTATCATCGGTCAATCTGCCTGGAACATGCATGGAATATCACACTTGACCCCTGATTCTATGCATATGTCCCTATAGGCGATGGCGTTCAACACCAGCCCAAAAGCCACGCTGCCGCTTCTCCACGCATTTCCATGATCTCATAATGCCAATGGCTTCAGACGCGGTCAGCCTTTCCCACTGAGCTACTTGCCGCCATACTGTTCATGCGTTGTGCTGTAATCCTACGGACGAGTGGCAGCATGGCCTCTTTGTTAATGTTTCCTAAACGGATAGAGTCAACCACCCACAGACAATCAAAAGGCACACATGAATGGAACTCTCTGGCTGTGGGAAAGAACCATCTCAACCTGCGGATGTCTAGCAAGGTCGTGTGAAATACGTAGGAACGCGCCTTGGGAATAGAACGGCCAGGGGTATCAGGACGCCCTCAATGACTCCATCATACTGAATGGCGTCAGCGGATCTTCCTACCGAGCAAGCGATATTACAAGCCTATGAGATTGATCCCTATAACGGACAGCGAGAAATCTAAATGAGAATGACTCGGACTGATAGGAGATTGAAGGCAAGTAGGATCTAATAAGGGTGTACGGGAAATTGGAGGAAAGGAGAAATGATGCTAGCCAAAACTCTATACTGTACTGGTGCATAGACCACTCACACAGATCCCAGTCAGGGCGTTTCTACTAATAGCAACGAAACGAAGCTAGTATTCCTTCGACCGTACACTACCGCCACTCCGGATTATCATTGACCGCATACGCAACACAGTAGCCGTGTGGTGTTGCCCTGCGGCCTGGCCTGGGTATATAAGAATGAATGAGTACAATCGAACTCAATGCCACAGACTAGCAGTGCACCTCGCGGAAGTAGGTAGCTGTGCCACTCATTTACCTCTGGGAGGATATTTCACTTCATTATGCTACTGCACGCCATTTTTTTCACTTTACTTTTCTTGGGCGTCTCTTCAGCGGCCAGATGCCACGCGGTTTCCCTTAAAGCATCGTCTCCTCAACCTTCTCTTTCCCCATCAGTCGCTTCGTTTTCCTCGACTTCGGCCTGGCCCCGACACGATACCTTTACTAAGCCCTCAGCCCCTGTGAAATCATCGGGTTCTGTCCAATTATCGGCTTCTGTCGAATCCTCAACGTCTACTCAATCAGCGTCTGCCCATCCTTCGACATCTGCGCAGTCTTCGGTCTCGGTTTCCAATGGCACTGCTCTCATACCTGGAGGGAAGAAGGCTGGATCTGCAGGCGGGCGTGCCACAAAGTTTTGGCAGGAACACCTAGGCTGGTGGTACGACTGGACGCCCAGTCCCGAAACGATCGGTAACCTAGAAGGGGTCGCAATGCTCTGGGGCTCCGGCAACAACGGACAGCAAGACGAGAAGCGATTTGCCGAGTTCCAACAGCTCACTACAGTTCCCCAGTACCTGCTCGGCTTCAACGAGCCCGACTGCACCGCCTCCGATACTTCAGCTAATATGGACGTCGATGAAGGCGTTAGCTTGTGGAACGAGCTCATCGCCCCTAAGGGTGAGCAGGGGTCTCTGCTAGGGAGCCCGGCTATGTGTATGCAAAAGGCAGAGAGTTGGTTAAAGAAGTTCAAGGCTGGAAGTCTCGCCCGCGACTGGGACTACACCGCCATCCATGTCTACAAGCCCGATATGGCCGGCGTCCAGGCCGATGTCGACTACTACTGGACCACATACGGCAAGCCCATTTTGGTGACCGAGTTCGGCTGCGTCTACGACCAGGACGACTTCACTCCCTGCTCGGACCAGAGTGAGATCTCGCAGTGGATCTCCGATGTCGTTGACCTTTTCGAGAAAAACGAGAACATTATTGGTTACGCCTATACTGACGGCGGTGGGCTCGGAACCGTGTGGCTCCCCGTAAAGTCAGATGGCTCGGCATTATCCGTGTCCGGGCAGGCGTATCTAGATGCGATCAGCAAGTACTAGATATGGTCGGCAGGTTGGGGGCACCTTTACTCTTCATCACATTCGTTCCATTCGTTTCTCCCATTCGTAGTTAGGATCATATACCACAGAGTGTAGATTCGTACATGTATTTTATAGAAGCTTACATTTACCCCATTCATCTTTGAACTCCCCGCTCCAACCCAACACAGTATCTACGCAGCTTGGTCGCATCAGATCTAGCAGCCCTGTGAAAGGTTTTGCCGGTGCAAAGGTCACAACCCGCAGTTTAGCTATGCCGTGTCTTGAGATTGCTGATTCCTTGTAACGAACTTGGTAAGACTTCATAAGTAGGCATCCTCTGCAAAATCAACGACCTCTGGATGTTTTGGTTAGTTATCAAGGCGCGTCACTCTAAGAGAATAACTATCATCTTTCAAGGGATGGCCTAGAAACTTTGACTTCGTCTCCCAAGACACAGCGGTTGCCTCGAAGACTTTTCCACCTTCTTCATGTGTCTCAATACACCATGATCCGATCCAAAGTCCTGAATTTTATTGTGTGATACCTTCAGGCATAAATCTTGGCGGTCTAAAGTAGTTGCTAGAAGTGAAACGACAATAAAGACAGTGACAATCCCTCAAACTCAACCTGTGATTCCGCAATAAAGGCGCGAATTTAGGAACCTGAAAACTTGAACCCGAGTACATGACACATAAGGCACAGTATCCAAGACTAAACACCCATTTCCCAAGAGTACCAAAGCCTTTGGTAAAGCAAAGTTTGTATATGGGCCAGAATGGGCGAAAAACACAGGGTTATGTGAGAAAATGCTGCAAGCTTCTCAAGAAGGGCCCATCTGATGATATATATGAGACTGTGAACGATGAGACCGGCGTAACCCCTTGCGAGATCAGCCCAAATGGAGGGTGTTGATCACACAGATGTGGAGGTCTTGGGGAAAGTCCACGAAGTGGCGTCCATGACAGTTATCTACAAGCTCACATCCGAGGACAGCGTCAGCCGCATATGCCTGAGGGCAGACAGTATCTGATTCTACGATGTCCATGGCTCCTGTTGCAGCGTGTTGGAGCCCAGCTGCCTGGCGCGGCCTCGTGGGTGCATCATCTGAGCCGTTCAGCCATGTGTTTAGCACGTTGGATAACTTCTGGTCAGGTACAGAGGACATCCACAGTACTTTGATCTCGTTTCCAGTGTCAAGGAGGCGTGCAGACAACAGGCCAGACATCAAGGCGGTTGTTCTATAACGACCTGCGAGCGAACCATCGTCTTCTGCATACAATGGAACTGTCGCGATATATGATCCAAAATTGAGCAAAAGATATGCTGTAAGCAAGTCCACCTCTCACATCAGTCGAGTACATTGCTTGAGACAAGAAACATGGCCAGCTCGCAGCGGCAGACATGAAGAGGACTGTCATCGTCAAGGCGGTGTCTGCGTAACACGATCGCCCAGGAGAAACTGGGTAACACGACACCTACGATAAGTTGGCTACTACCAAAATTAGAAGACACTTATGGCAACTATTCTTTGACGATGGTGACACTGTTTTGGTATACGGGCAATTAACGTCACTCGTTATCTCGATCTCGGATATGAAGCCTATTACCGAACGCGTGGCACCAAAAGTGGAGCACACTTGATGGGCGCGTCACGCTGATCAACTCCTGTATTTTACCGCGCCGCATCTAATCAGATGTCACAAGAAGCTCGTAGATTTGTCGACGACACGGTCGCCGGACGGAGGGAGACTGCCTATCATTGACACCATTTTCCTGAGCCACAACAACAAGTCGCTCCTCCTACGCACAGCCGAGCTTGAGAACAGTCGACACCATATTGGATGAGGCCAGGATCTCGCGGCACTTCTTTCTCGCGTATGATTAGGTGACGAATTCCGGCGTGTTACTATGCCTTGTCCGATCGGACGGCGTATTGCTCTGCCCAACGAATGGTCAGGTAGCGATCTGTAGGAGTTCATTGAACCCGAAATGATGGCGTTTTAGTATGGACGGTTCTCATGCATAGAACTTGTATAGTTACACAGGGTCATGATAGCCCTGTTCAGTTGTGCGTTCATGAATCGATGGTTTCCATAATGCTAGCACCCTGTTTTCTGCTAGGTATAGTCAGAGCCCTGATTTGAGTTGTTGATTTATACCGTCACGGATAGCACGTCAGCCCATGGCGAAGTCGAAGTTGAAATCGCCAGTGTGCCAGTGTTACCCTAAGTGTGCGAAGAGATTTCATGCTGTATTCTCCAATATCCTTGAATTCAAGTCGGCTGCATACAAGGAGATGTCTTTCACGAGTTGCTTTGTCGAGTTATACCAGTACTGGAATGAATATTAGTTTCTCGCCGGCTATTTTGTCGAACCTTATACCCTGGCCGTGCTCTTGAGCGAGTGGAATTATGCCGATAACTCGATCAGACTACCTGGCACAGCCACGCAGTCATGATGGCTATCCTCTGAGCGTCTCATTCGCTGTTGGTAGATCGTCCTAGCTCACGTGCCTTGAGAACCTCGATCGGAATGAACATGGTCTCAAGCCAATGCTTCTGCGGCGCCTGCCACCTACCAACTCCATCGAGATGGCTTTGTTGGTCTTCAGGAACGTTGATCCACACCAAAGGACGGCTGTTGTGGACTTTGCCGTGAATCGTAAAGTCACCCAGAGCTTCTGGAAACCTTATAGGGTCTTTAATGACAACAGCCTGGTAGGCGGGAATTAGCAAGTGAAGTTTGACCCTTCGATGCTGTTTCCCAAGTTTATTGCCATGGCGAGTAGCCCGCTCTGAATAGTCTCGAGCGGCAAGCATGAACACGACAGCGGCATCCAGTTGATTGGAGTGTCCACAGAACCGGCGGTGTAGACCGCGGTTCATGATCAGCCGGTGAAATCCTGGAGTCCAGATTGTGTCTGGGTGATAGACGAAGAACCAATTCGAGACCTCATCGGTGTCCGGGAAGTTGTGTAAGGCTTCTTCAACCAGATCATAGACTGCCTGTGGGAACTTTTCAATCGACATCAAAGCGGTCTGGGCTTGCAGCGTGTTGTTGATATCTTTGAGGTTCGATGCAATCAAGTTCAATGCCTGGACTCCTTGGTAGGCTATTATCAAATTCCCGACCGTGCCTAGAGTTGTGGCGATGCTGCTGAAAGATGTTGCGACTTTCGCAGTATCGCAAACTGACTTTGCCATAACCTGAAAAATCGGTACAGCCTCCTGAATAGCAGCCAGTGCCTGCGGTATACTCGCCGGATCTTTGGTGGCCTTCCATATGTGATGTCCCGCCTGAATCATCCGGACGACTGACGCGGATTTCTCGGCATGCTTGCCAGGCTTCTTCTGCACTTTGCCGTCGCGTTTCGAAGGTGCTTTCATCAAGGCTTCCAGAAGATCCATTTCTGGATAATGACTCCTAGTGTATTTCGTGTCTAGCGTTGTTGCAGCAGTCAACTTCGATTGTGATGGCACAGTAGTGGTCGTCGCTATGATACGATCAATTTTCAATCAAATATATTGTGGCTACGTCGAGCATCTTGGAATCCTGAAGACCAGAGCTCAACGCCGACAGTTTAAAGAGGACCCCTGTGCAGCTGGGCTTCTGTTGAACAGGCGTGCTAGCTTGCCCAACGTGATGTGGATAGCCCATGAGTTGTTCAAGTGGGCCCATTAATGGGGCGCTCAATCACAGTACCGCGCCCACTTTACTTGTACTCACCCCGAAAGGCGGTGACTAGGCGAAGATTCAGGGAAGCCACATGGCTTGGCCGCATTCGCTGCGGCAGAAGGTATCGCTTTTGTGGCTCGCAAATGGGCCAGACTTGTTACTCATGCACTAAATGCTTGAAGAACGAATCTGCGGTAAGCGAAGAGCAACAGGAAATCCATGCTGCTGCAGCCACAGGCCGGATTGGGTACCAATCTTGCACCTCGCGCTTGGGCATACTGTTCTTACAGACAACCTGGCGCAATCCTTCGTCCAAGGCCTCTTATTCTTGCGCCTAGTACCGGAATATGTCGCATGAGGGGCCAACTGAAGGAGGGTTATGTCGAACGTCTGTACTTCACGATGATGCAAACTCCTTTCTTGATTGGACACATAGTGGCTAGTTATGTGGTGTGGCTGCTGGTCTTGGGTCTATTGTAGACAATACATAGTACATATTCGTTGTATGTGGGCAAAAGGCCCTAATATGAATAGTGTTTCTTTTCTTTTTTTTTTTCCGCTTTACTAAAGTATTATACATATTGTTTTTATCCTGCCCCGTACCCACAAACTCGAGTATGTCTTGCTAATTCTGCGTTATGCCTCCATAGGCGAATGATGTTGAGTGGCAATACGTGGCAGCTGTCTTTACTGGTCACGACAACGATGTGTTCATGTGAGAAAGTCAGGCGATGAGACTTCTCACAGTCTATCTGATTCTACCTTGCGAAGATCACAAGAGACCGTACTGTGTCTTACACATGACGAATACATACATTTCGTGATGCTGGCGTCAAGGTGCAAAGCATTCGGAAGTACTCTTGGCGCGCTCGTTTTAGATTTTAACCTAAGGATAGTTTGTCTCTCAGCTAATCTTGAACGCGTCGTCGGTGGCAATGATTTGGAGTCGTCCGTCCTCGATTGGCTGACGTGCCTAGCCGAACAGAACCCAATTAGCCGGACGATCATCAACCACAATCTATGCATTTACCCTAGTGATAGAAAAGAACCGGGGATTTCCACCTCCGTCTCTAAATTTCCCTAAGTAATGTCGGTATTTCCCAGGGGAGGATACCATGGTAGAATGCCCCTGGGAATCCTACTTTACCATCTATTCCAAAAATAAGCACGTCTAAGTAGGACGGAGCTTTGCAAAGATGCCGACATCAATTGCCGTTGCATAATCTCCTCTAACACGGAGAAGTCACCGGGAGGCATCTCTGGAGAGCGACTCGACCTTGTCCTCACGGTCAAAAGGGTATTGAGATATGTATAAAACCCTGACGGCCTGTAGGCTTGTGAACATATCATTTTCTTGGCACTTGAGTTTTCTATTCTATTTGAGCCAATAACAGGCCTTTCCGATTTTAAATATGTATCTTCGGGTTGTCATCTCTCTTGCTGCCCTTCTGCCGTCTGTGTGGGCCAGCAAGACGTCCGCGATTGCAACATGGGAAGAAAACCCTACCAGTCTTGGGTCTTCCATAGTCATAACCCCATCAACCTCTTCTGGAAAGCCTGCAATCATCTTGGGTGTAAGTAGCCATATTGGCAGACTTTCTAGGCCTGTGGTCAGACCAAGTTTCTATTAGGACTGACAGATCTTATTGCAGCTTCATCCCTGTGGAGGCACTGGACAGATGTATCAGTCCATGACCACTCTCCCATCATACGTTGATAAGTTGAACCTTGTGCTGCTTTACCCAACCTCAAAGTCTCAGAGTGGAATGAATTGCTGGGACGCGCACTCCGCCAAATCTTTGAAGCATGATGGAGGTGGCGACTCTGAGTCCTTGGCAGGGCTAGTCAAGACGGCACTCAAAACCTACAATGGAGATCCGAATAAGGTTTTCGTAGTTGGTGGCTCTTCTGGAGCCATGGAGTCCAATGTGCTAGCTGCGACATATCCAGACCTTTTTAAAGGCGCTGCCTCGTGGTCTGGCGTTCCGGCAGCATGTTGGGCAGGATCACCGATCTCGACGCCGATGTCGTCGGACCTCAGCTGCCCTCTTGGCAAGAAAGCCAGCACGTATACAGCACAGCAGTGGGGTGACCTCGCACGTGGGTGCGACACCGGATACAATGGAACCTATCCGAAGATGATGGTCGTTCATGGCACGGCTGATACTGCGGTTACGATCAACAACCTGAAGGCGCAATTAGACCAGTGGAGTAATGTTATGGGGCTAACGTTTTCGAAAAACACTTCGAATACGCCAGTAGCCAACTGGAAGAGGATTGACTACGGTGATGGAACCTTGCTGAGAGGTTACGAGGTGGCAGGTGGTGGTCATATACCCGCTTTCCAGGCAGATGAGGTGCTGAAGTTCTGGGGATTGATTTGAAAAGCTCTTTCTCTTCTAGCTTTGCTCAAAGCTTATAGACTATGACTCCTATAAACAATCTGCTTCTGGCCTGGTTCGACTATGGTCTTAGATCTCATCTATGCACCGCCATGAACACTGCAGTCATAACAAATTGTTTACATTTTGTCTGCATGGGATATACATTTACATAGATGAAAAACCAGGACTATGTCTCTAACTACCCATAAAGCCCTTGCAAATGGTGCTCTACTATGTTTGAAAACACACTGCCCCTTTGTTGTAGTAGATTATGTGTGGCACGTTTTACAGAGATTAATAGCGCACGCGGTCGCAACACGGAAAAAAAAAAATCCTGCTTTGATCCAATCATAGGGCATTGATTTCTGTTGTCTTTCTTTGATGGGCTCGATACTGCCAGTAACCGTATGTGTAGTGTCAAAGTAGAATGTTCGGGCCTGTTGTCCAAAAAGGGCAACTCGGGCACGATTGACTGGCCCCAGCAATCTCGAGCCTGTTACCTTCCATTTCGGTCAAAGCGCCCCAGATCAAATTCTCAATGGGGCTACCCTATTAGATTGAGAGTTCGCTCTCCCTTTGGGCAATGTCAACTCTTGGCTACGATATTCTTCGGCTTGCGTTCTTCAAAATGGTTTCAATCTTGGTGTTGGCGCTTGGCTTACCCGCCCTTGGGCTTGGCGCAACTATTGTGTCCCGTCAGCATCCAAACTCCCAATACGACGGTCCTCTATTCACGAGAAGTGATGTTGCCATCGAAGAAGCACCGGCTTCAGCTATTGTCCAATTGCTCCATAATCCTAAACCAGATCATTTCACCAGTCCAGTGCATGCACGTATCGCCGCATCGCAATTTGACAAACGTGCTGGCACAGGCAAAGAAACGGTGAACACTATATTCAGTGGCATCTATCCGGTCGTCAATCTGACTTGGGGCAACGTTGACAGCAGCAAACCCGGACAGCAGTTCATCAGCTTCATCGACACGGGCAGCGCGGATACATGGGTAGTCTCGAGCGATCTTCGCTGTGTCGACATTGATACCAAGGTCCCTCTCAGCCAAGATGCCTGTGGTTTTGGGCCTCTATACGATCGCTCCAAGGGGTCGTTTACGAACATCTCAAGCCAATCTTTCAGTATAAGCTATTTTCCTGAGATGGAGACACTGAGAGGTGACATGGGGTATGCGCCAATCACGCTGGCTGGCCTGACAGTTCCTAAGCAAGAGGTATCGCTCGTAAACTATGCCGCTTGGGCAGGGGATGGTGCTACATCCGGACTGCTGGGTCTTGGGTATCCCGCAATCACGTCGGCGCAGAACCGCGCTACTGGCCGAGCTGTCCAGTATGACCCGCTATTCACCACCATGGTCAAGGAGAATGTTGCCTCCAGCGCTATCTTCACGCTTGTGATCGATCGTGTTGCGCAAGGAACCTCCCCCTTGGCGCCTGCCGGATTGATGGCTGTCGGAGGTCTGGTACCGGCCACATACTACGATGCACCATTTACCAGCGTGCCTATTCTTCCCCGAACTGGCGAGAAGACGTGGTACACTGTTTCAAACAAGTTCAAGTACGGAGCGAACGGGTCTTTCACGGAACTTGCTACCACTGCTTCGTTTGAAAGCATTGTTGACAGCGGAACTTCGCCAAATTTCATCCCAACAACTGCGGCAAAGGCGTTGAATGCCTTGTTTGACCCACCAGCCGTGTATAACAAGACCCTGGACTACTACACTGTTGACTGCAGTGCCAAAGCACCCTACGCTGCATACGTCATTGGGGGTGTGGAAATGCCCATGGATCCCCGGGACATGATTGTGCGGAGCTTGAACGGACTTCCTGGTTACGAGAATGTATGTTTTAGTGCATTTGCCGACGGAGGGGCCGACAACTTCATCATAGGCGCGGTTTGGCAGAGGAACTATGTGGTGGCCTATGATCAAGGGCAGAGCATGATGCACTTCGCAAAGCGAAAGCCTTATTGATCCACCCGAGTAGATCCTATGCTGAAGGTAAGTGTTTATTCTCATTTATAAACATGGCCCCATTCAGCAGAGCTGATACGACCTGCTTCGCCCAGAAAGAAATATCTAGATTCACGATCGCTTTGAACAATTCCCATACCCACTTTGATATCTGTTACCTGCTTTGCGAGGAGCTCAGGCCCGTGGTCTATATACGGAGTTATAGTCCAATATTTCATTACAGTGGTTATTTTATTATAACATACGCAATCTTAGTCCCGGTTTCCCATACGCTAAAATGCTAGAAGAAGCTTGGTGTTGCAGTAGTTAGTCACGGTAGTGCGCACATCAACGGTTCCTGAATCCCGTAGGAGTGGATGGAGCTAGACTCCAAGTAGATGCATGATCGACTGTCACGGCGATGTGGGGGATGGGTGATGTGACATCATTGCTCGTCATCCCAGAATATGGAATTGGGAGACTGGTTGAACCCTGTATTGTGTGCCGAGCTACCGACTGCGAAAGCAGAGTAGAGCGGGTTTCAATATGTTTCGAGTAATTCTGCGTTAATCAAACTAATCTATCTATGCACACTCATTTTCACAGTAATTCTAAGCACCCAACATCAACGCGACCAAGATGCAAGCCAAAGAGAAGAGACCTGTCTGGAAGGTCTTCTCCCGAGGAAAGGGTGGCGAAGCAGCATCGGAGACGGCTGAGACCACGACCACCAAGCCTTGCTATGACGACTCTGCATACGGCAGTAGTGAACCCAACAGTTCCATGCGAACGGTAGGGGAGTCTGACGCTTCGAAGAGCACAAATGCGTTGCCGAACCCTCAAAGAGACGACAATGTGAGGCCGGGCACAACATCTGAAGGGCCTTCATCCTATACCAGTCCTACCATCAAGCGAGAGACACGGACGAACCCAAATATGGGGCAGACCGTTACAACGACCACAACCACTACAACAACCACGACAACCGTTACGAACGCGAACGGCGATTCGACTACAGTAGAAGAGCCGCGCGCAGCGGCAGAGCTGCCTACTACCAGCAACAAAGAGCCAGTGCCTGCTGCGAGTGGGGAGCAAATCATGCGGCAGCGACGCAGCTCAGAAACACCAGGACATAGGGTCATACCTCCGAGGGAGCCAATATCACCGAAAACGCCACTGATACCACGACGTAGCTCAAACAGGCAGTCCTTCCCTCCATACGCGTCGGCGGCTGAACAGCATCCACCTGGACCATCAAAACAACCTAGTAGGACAGGCTCCCAGAACTTCTCCTATCCTGGGCGCAACCAACCACCTCAAGATGTTCATGACGAACAAGATGCCCAACATCGACACGAGCAACAGCAAGCCGGTGGCTCGACGATACAGAATTTGAAAGCTGCCGCCGCTGGAATTCACGTAAGTACATGGGAGATTACTAACTTTGGATGAAGGGTTCGTCTGCTAACACTCAACACAGGGCGCCGGTGAGACTCTTCGAGGAACCTTGAATTCGTCGGTCGATCGACATTTTGGCAAGCGAGAGGTGGCGGACAAAGACCAGGCTGCCGTGGAGGCCGGCCGATATGAGCTTGCTAATCGCCGATTTTATCATCCGGATGGTGAGCAATCACCTAGCCAGTACCATCTTGGCGCGAACCCGACCCAGTCTCACAACCAAGACCTCGAGCCTGATCCGCTGCAGACAGTACCCAGGAAGCCTGTCGGGGCCTCTATAATTGGTAGCGAGACCAGGTCAGGGAGGCTGGGCAATTTCATCAACAAGGCAACTAGTAGATCCTCCAGCAGCGCCGAGGTTGGTCAGGAAGAAGAGCCACGGGAACGAGCAAAGTTGAAGAAGCGCAGTAGTTCACGTCTGAGTGTCGTCGGTGAATGAGAACAGCCTTTCTGCGTCATTGATACGGTGGATTTCTTAGGCCAGGGACATGACCTTGGCAATGACTGAGTGGATGAGCCAAACAGAGGCTATACCACAGTGTTCATGTATATAAATCGTATGCAAACTTGCATCCAGACGGCATAACTACATGCTAACAAACGCGAGAAAGCATGAATGGTTTCGCTGAATGAGCAGATCACAAGAGCCCCTGTAGTGTTACCAAGTAATAATGTTGCACATACCATGTTGGGTCCAAAGAGTTGTTCGAAGTAACAGCGATAACTTGGTCCGCAGTTAGGGGTTGGTGGGTAGTTCCTTGTGCTTTAGTGGCCTAGGATGCACTGGGCCCACCATGTGCTGCAGCGTTCGGTCGCCTGCAGAACCTAGATCTCACGACTTCAATGCCTTTCGAGGCAACAGGGGATTACGGCTAAGCGCGGCCGCAGATCTTCTTGTTGCGCGTTGCAAACAACGTCCGTAGGTTTTTCCTCTTACTTATCAGAGAATCTGCAATGCATCACTTCTGGCAAACTCCAGAGCCCGAGCCAAGATGTCGACGTTCAACGGCATTGTGCACGAGTTCCCAGGAATCGCCATCGACTTCTTTCGTCCTCAGCCTGAACGAAGTCGTCCACCTCTAGCTTGCTTCTTGAGTCACGTCCACAGCGACCATCTGGCTGGTTTGGAGACACTGAGATCTCACTTCATCTACTGCTCTGCAGCGACACGCGAAATCCTTCTTCGTCTTCAGAAGCACCCTAGTCGTATTGCCTACGCCAATGGGCTGCGCGAGGCTCCAGTCCGCACATACACGCATCTCAAGTCGCTCCTGAAAGCAGTCCCACTTGATACACCAACCGTGCTGGAGCTGGCGCCAGGGAACCACATTCAAGTGACCCTCATAGATGCGAATCACTGCCCTGGTGCTGTCATGTTTCGTATGTTGTGAACCATAGCCACGCTTGCTTAAAGCTAACATCCCCAAAGTGATCGAGGGCAATGGAAAAGCTGTCCTGTACACAGGTGACATCAGAAGTGAGCCCTGGTGGGTGAACGCCGTTGCCAGGAATCCATGTCTTGTGGAATACGCATCTGGCTTGAACCTGCTTGACCGCATCTACCTGGACACCTCTATGCTCAGCAACCATGAGCTCCAAACCAAGGCGGAGGGGCTGAAGGAGCTGCTCACTAAAATCTCTAAGTACCCTGACGACACCGTGTTCTGCATGCAGGCATGGACCTATGGGTATGAAGAAGTCTGGATTGCACTTTCGAAGGCGTTAAAGTCCAAGGTACGATCACGCTTACAAGTGGCAGACGGGTGATTGTTGACCCAAAGTAGATTCATGTCGACAAGTACAAGATGGGTGTCTACAAGTCGCTTGTCACCAAGTCGTCGCAGGACAGGTTTAGTACTCACTTCCACCATACGAAAGAAGCCCCATATCTCGTGGGCTTCAACTGCGGCAACACTCGACACGAGGGCTGTTTGACACTGGATGAGAACGTTCGCATTCACAGTTGCGAGAAGGGAACATCTTGCTCCGTTATGCAGACAAAGCCCATTGTCTGGATTCAGCCGATAGTCGCTCACATTGCAGATGGGATGGATTGGGCTGAGGTAGGACTTGGCGGTGGAGGCGACGACCTGGAGCAGGAGGCTGATGTCGAAGACCTTACACTGGAGCACCTGCAGCCCCTTTTTGACATGTGAGTTGATGGCGGATCTGTTCCTTGGTACATTCTGACAAGTACAGGATCGGCGAGAGTCGAGATCTCTCGGTATGTGCTAAAGAGCAGATTAAGAATCTGCTTCGTAGTCTTGTCGCCAAGAGTCGCCTTCCCGAAGCCGAGGTCCCGATGAGTGAAATCTCGGAGGACGTACGGACCAGACTGGGGAGCATAATATTCTCCATGGTCAGGTCTGTGGCTACAGCCAAAGAACTATCAAGGTCGCTGCCTCGGTCGCAGGCGGCTGCCGACAAGTTGCCAAACCGGATAACTTTCCCCTATGCCAGACACTCTTCATATCCCGAATTGCGCCACCTCGTTGAAACCTTTAAACCAAAAGATGTATGGCCGTGCACGGTTGACATCTCGCATTGGCAGGAGTGCGGTATCACGATGCGTAAGCTCTTTGGCCCATATTGCTCAGGGAACATATTTGAGTACGACCAACTGGTCGAGGAACTGATTAAGAAGAGGTCCGCCTCTCTCAATCCACATGTCCAGAAGGCCAACGACGAGGAGAGTCAACAGACACCAAGCTCAGCTTGCGGAGAACCTCCTACCAGTCCTATATTGCTTTCTTCACCGAAAAACGATCAGTCGCAACTGTGCGATCGTTCAGGAAACCCAGATGGGGCCCTATTGCATGAATCATCGCGGGTAGACCCGGATCGCACAGATATCATATCCATCGCCTCGAACGGTTCTCAGAGCAATGACGACAAAAATGAGCCCCTGTTACCAGCTAAGCGACCGTACGAAACCTTCCGGGAGGCTGACGACCCCCGATTGGAACATGCAGAAGATGAGGACCTTGATCTTCAAGGCGATTCGCAAGCATCTGCCTTAAGTGCAAGGGCTCATGAGTCGCGACTCAGAGCATACAGGATTGCGAACGGAAACAGTGAGGACAGGGGATGGAGATCAATCGAGCTGCTGTCAACTAGTCATAACCATAATGCTATGGATGAGGAACTAGGCAGTTCTTAAATGAGAGTATAAAGCCGGGAAGCTGATTCTGTCGGCTGATGTTCTCGTCTAAAGAGGCAAAAACATATATGCACCACGACAGATAGGCATATCAGGTGTACCACCTGGGCCACATCACAGAGTTTCGATCCCTTGGCCTCGGTCCTGCCTTGTACGTTTATGGCTTATGGTGCACTTTCGAGCCGCTCTGCAAGCCCGTGTTGGTTGTTTGAGTAGCTTGCTGTGCATAGTAGTACTTCAATACCGGCACAGCACCAAGAACACTAGCAAAAGAAAGTTTTCTCCATAACCGTTCAACGTCCCCCATTGTCACCTGCGAGTGTCAAAATTTTCCGAGCGCATCTTCTCCCACGCCAACTACAGTATCAAACTCGTAGCATGCGACCTGAGCCTCTCAAGCAGTTTGAAAGGCATGACATCAATTGGTTCTCCCAGGTTCCAGTGTGTGAGCCTGGTCCTACTGTGGAGTAAATCCTGGTGACGATAAGTTGGAAGAGGGATGTCGATGGATGCCAGTCTGGCTGCCCTCGATGAAATGACAACCGAGGCCGCGTACAGCTCCAGCTTCTTCAAGTACGCCGGATAAGCTGAAACCACTGCTGAGCGTGCCCAACGCAAAGATGGTGAACATTTGGGGGCGGTAGGGATTGGACACCGAGACAACGAGCTTAGTTCTACCTAGACTCACCAACCTAACAAGATGCTTACATTCCAGTGATACATAGAAGCTGAGTTGGGTTCAATCTTCGCATGTTGTACAACAATTGCGCATATCTGGTGTTGGGCCTCTGGCATTTAACGGATCGCCAACACAAAGAAAGAAAGATGTGGTCAAAAACGGACCTGTCAACCGCAGAGCAATGGAGTAGTCAACGGGTCCCAGTCATGGCGGATACCAATCTTCTTAGAAAAAGTTCAGAAAGTATTCGACTTTTGCTGCTAGTTAGTGCCTTTATCGACGCAACGGCACGTTTTCACATATGAGTCTTCGTCTAGAGAGTCGCCAGGAGATCGATTTGCCTCACGACATTAGTTCAACCCCATCGGAATGCCGTTTCTAAAACGCGATTTGACGCCAATTGAGGTCGACACTATTGATGTACTCAAAGACGTTTTCAGTAGGAAAGACTTGGTCAACTCTTCGTGGACCCCTTGGGCCACAGCCGAGCTCCTGGTTGACTTGGCCAGAGATAACAGCCACAGGTATCCCAGTAAGTAAGGGTGGTCATACTCAAGGGTATTAAATCTCAGATGCGGTCTAGAAACGACACAAGACGATCGACAGCATCAGATTCTGACCGCTTTCGCGATTAAGATGCCACTGCAAGGGAAAGCTCGGGAACGCGCATGGCAAGTGTTGCTGCAGCTGAGGTACGAGGCAGTTTTCGGCGACCAGAGGACTCAACTTGCACTCGACTGGGCAAGAAACATGGACAGTTGGAAGTCCAGCTATCATCGTAGGTAATACCGGAGTAGCCATGTGCTTCCCAACGTTGAGCTGATGTAGATAAATAGGAGAGTTCAAAGGTTGCGCCATCATGGTAGCAAAGCAACACGTGCTGATCGCAGGCATGTCTTATGCTGGGATTGCGACGGACTACGGTCTCTTCGCTGAAGCGCTACGCGACCTGACGAAGGACTTCTATGCGCATTATGACCGCCATGTACAGGCGGCGTCTGCCTGGATGCATGCTGGTCTTGAGAACTTGGAAGATGCGTATTGCCGGGCCTCGCAACACCTCCCGGCCGAAGACGTCGTGGAGTTCTGGAACGCAGCAGGCAGGAAGTTTATGGAGATAGCTCAAGAACCTAGAGTGGGAGAGGATGCCCAAGATGCGGCAGTGGAGGCGGCAGCGAGGATGAGGTTTATGGGTTTCGATGAGGACGGATGCTACTGGTTCAAGGGTTTGGGTGACATCGCTCCCAGAAGGGTGCATGCGTCAACCTGTGACAAGTCAAGGGAGGACTCGACCGAGGGGGACAGGTGGTATAACGAGAAAGCGTATTATGACCTTGCCAACCAGCTTATTCCAGGCTCGTTTGGATCGGCCAGCAACGAGCGTCATGGAGGTTACGAACGTGGGTAACTGTGCCTCTGGGACGGCTATTTCTAGATGCGGAGGAACTTCGAATTTGCACTTTTCACCCTGGTTTACCTGTATGAGGATAGTGTATGGCAGCATGAAGCAGTTTGGAGGTGACCCTATATTTGCACAACCTACCTAAGTAATTACCTCACCGGAATTACCAAGCTTTTGTTGACCAGCCCCTTCGTGATGTTGCTACTTTTGGCGTATGCTTTTTGGCTTGCGTTTCTTGAAAACAACGGCGGGAACATCAAAACCGCCGGCCTCCGAAGCCTCTTCAGGCTTGACCAAGGTATCACTGGTGGCTCTTGGCTCTGCCTTGACCATATCAGGGACGCCGCGATCGTCTTCTGATGGCTCATCCTTCACTGGGGTATGGTCTTCCTCTTTCTTGAGCTTGGTCTCCGCGGGACTCTTGGCCCTTATCTTCTCTTCGCTCTTGATGGGCGCCAGGGAACCAGTCAGCAGGGCGTCCAGCTCGGCATCATCTTCCGGAGCCTGTTTCGTATCGCGGCCCCATTTCCGGGGCTTCTTGAAGAGACCGGCCATGGCTTGCTCTTCCTCTTCCTCGCCCTCCTTCCTCACGCGTTTCCGCACTCCGGTGGCTATGGCGTCAACCTTGGGGTTGCCGTTCTCGTCCGTCTTGGGGGTGTCGTCGACGACGCGCATGTTGGTGACTTGCCAGTCGCCTGCCATGGCCATATCGCCTCGGAGCTCCGTCGGGACATCGATGCCCAGATCGGCCAGCTGCTCCCACTGTTTCTGGCGCTGGGTCTCTGTCGTGCGCGCATTTGCCGGTAGTCGCGGGGCGCTGGAACTGGGACCTGCACTGCTGCCACTGGCGCTGCCGCTGCCGCTGGAGCTTCCCACGACGCCGTTCAGCCGGTCGATCTCGCGCTTGGCCCGCTCCTTCTCCTTCTCCTCCCGGTCGTGGCCGCGATGAAGATCTCGGAGGAAGCGCTTCAGGGCGCCCTGATGCTTGCCGGTGGACTCATGGTTGCTGCGCTCGAGCTTGGTGTCGCGGACGTAGACGCTGCAGTGCTTGCACCAGTATTTGGGGGTGGACTTCCAGTATTCCGACATTCCGTTTGGGGAGATACGTTACTGGTGAAGATGCGGACGCGCTGGCGGACTAGACAGCAGATTCACGACGGTTGCGGTCGGCAACGGTCCGTAACTACTGTGCAGGGTGGTGGGTTGAGCGAGCGATGAAGGAGACAATGGATGGCAGACGGATGATTGCTGCTCGATGGTGTGTGTAAAGGTACAGGCTACCTGAGTTACCTAAAGCTAACCCCCGGATCCAACCTGCATGTGCTCCCTACCTGACTTGGAGCTACAGTAACTTCCAGGCTCCAGGGTACGTTAACTTGAGGACCGGAGGCTGCAGGGGGCCCATCTGCTGGCCCATCTGCTAGCCCATTCACTGTCCACCCGGTGGCGTTGGGGTCGCTCAACCAGCCACGCCTAAGTGGCAGCACAAACGCCACAGGCGCTGGCTCACCACCGCAAAAAGGAAGATGGGGTTGGGCCAGGGGGGGGGGTCAGGCAATGGAAGAAAAGAAAAAACAAAAAACAGAGTCGCGTCCTCCGGCCTTGACACATTGCCCCTCTTTCGCGAAATGACCTCCCGCGAGGTTGCAGGTTGGGCAGGTGGGCAGGTGGGGGATTTCGGCGCTAGGCTTATCTTATCCACCAAAGACCCCGAATTTTTGCTATGTTTTTCTGAAAAATTTCTGCCCGCCGAATTACAAGAAGGAAATTGGGAGACCTTGGGCTGGCACCGTCAACCTCCTCTCCTTTTCTTTCCCCCATCCCGTGGTCGTCTGCAGACTTCCTCGGACTTTTCTGTGAGATTGGGATCGAGGACAGCTTCAGAACTGCCTATACCCCTCCGTCAACCGTATCACGGCTGTGTGTCTCTGTTGTTGTAGTTGTTGCTGCTGCTACTGCTGTCGCACCATCGTCGGTTTTCCTGACAATCCCCCGGGACTCTCTGCTTGATCGATTCCCAAGTCAGCCGGTCGTTCACAGCAATCCGCCATGGATCAGTCAAAGTTGGTTGAGCTGCTCCAGGCCTCAACTATCCGTAAGTAAACCTCCGGCGGAACAATCCCATGACGGGTCGCCCTGCAATCATTTTGCTATCATCAGCTCCTGTGCTAACTGCGGCCTTGCTCCCCCAATCTAGCCGACACCCAGAAGGTCAAGGCTGCCACGGCCGAGCTCAAGAAGAACTACTACCCTCGCCCCGAGGCTCTGTTGGGACTTCTGCATGTCATCATCGCCCACGATGACGCCACCGTGCGCCAGCTCGCCGCTGTCCAGGCTCTGCGTCTAGTGCCCAAGCACTGGAAGAAGGTGGCCGCCGACCAGAAGAACGGCGTGCGCAACGAGGTCGTTCAGGCCGTCGTGCGCGAGCAGCACCCCAAGGTTCGCCACGGCATCTCGCGTGTCATCGCCGGCATCGCCGCCCTCGACTTCGAGGACAAGGAGTGGCCCGAACTGCTGCCCGCCGTCATCCAGCTGACCACGGCCGACGATGTCGCCCACCGTGAGATCGGCTCCTACATCATCTTCAGCTTGCTCGAGGCCGACCCCACCACCTTTTCCGAGCACATGTCCAAGATGTTCGAGCTGTTCGGCAAGACCATCCGCGACCCCCAGAGCCGCGACGTCCGCATCAACACCATGCTGTCCATCAGCTCCATGCTCCTCGTCATCCATGCCGACGAGGACGAGGACGCCGTCACCGCCGTCCAGGAGTTCATCCCCGCCATGGTCGACGTGCTGAAGGACACCATCGACAACAACGACGAGGAGCGCACCCAGCAGGCCTTTGAGGTCTTCCAGTCCTTCCTCGGCTACGAGTCTGGCCTCATCTCCAAGTACTTCAAGGACCTCGTCCACTTCATGATGGACCTGGCGGCCAATACCAACGCCGACGACGACGTCAGAAACCAGGCCCTTGCCTTCCTGACCCAGTGCGCCCACTACCGCCGCATGAAGCTCCAGGCCATCCCCGACCTGGCCACCCAGATCACTCGCAAGAGCTTGCTGATCCTGGCCGAGCTCGAGGAGGACGACGAGGAGGATGACATGACCCCTCCACGCTCCGCCTTGGCCTTGATCGATCAGCTCTCCACCGATCTACCCCCGAGACAGGTCGTCGTCCCCATTCTTGACGACTTCAGGAAGCTTGCCGCTTCGCAGGAGGTCGGACACCGACGAGCCGCCGTCATCGCCCTGGGTACCTGCGCCGAGGGAGCGCCGGACTTTGTGGCCACCCAGGTGGAGAGTCTGATGCCTACCGTCCTCCAGCTGCTGAACGACGCCAACAGGGCCGTCCGTCACGATGCTCTGGTCTGCCTCATGCGTATGGGTGAAGACTTGGCCGAGACCTTCAAGGCACACCACGAGACCATCATGACTGGCCTGGTCAAGAACTTGGAGGCCGCTTCCCAGGACGAGAACGACGAGAAGAATGTCGAGATCATCCGCTCCGTGTGCGGCTCCATCGACACTATGGCTGAGGGCCTCGGTGCTGAAATCATGAACAAGTACGCCCAGGGTCTCATCAGCCGTGTTGGTAGATTCCTGAGCCACTCCGACGTCAAGGTCAAGTCGGCTGCGGCCGGCGCCATTGGCGCCATCGCTCTGACCATCGAGGGCGACTTCAAGCCCTTCCTCAAGGAGACCATGGAGGCCCTGTCCCCCTTCGTCGTTGCTGAAGATGGCGAGGACGAGCTGCAGCTGCGAAGCTCTGTTTGCGACGCCATGGGACGCATTGCCGTCGGTGTCGGTGCCGAGGATTTCCAGCCCTACGTCATGCCCCTGCTGATCTCGAGCGAGAAGGCCCTGGGTCTCGGTAACCCCAGACTGAGGGAGACCACTTTCATCCTCTGGAGCTCCCTCTCCAAGGTGTACGAAGGCAACCTCGGCGACTCTCTGCAGGGTATCTTCAAGGGCTTGTTCGACAGCATCGAGCTCGAGGAAGAAGACCTGGAGATCGACGAGGAGCTTGCCGGCTTGGTCGAAGGTGACATTGTTACCGACGGCAAGAAGATCAAGGTCAAGCCGGCCGAGGGAGATTCTGACGATGAGGATGAAATGGACGATGATGACGATGATGACTGGGATGACATTATGGGCATCTCCCAAGCCGCCATGGAGAAGGAGGTCGCCGTCGAGGTTCTGGGTGATGTTATTACTCATGCCAAGGAAAAGAGTGTGCCTTATCTTGAGAAGGCCATCGAGCTCATCACGCCCCTGGTCGAGCACACATACGAGGGTTGCCGTAAGGCTGCCATCTCGACTCTTTGGCGCACCTACGCCTGCGTCTGGCAGATCATGGAGCAACAGACGGGTCAGAAGTGGCAACCCGGCCTGCCTACCAACTTCGAGACCCCTGCAAACCTTGCCAAGCTTGGTGAGGTCGTTTCCACCGCCACGATGTCCTTGTGGCTAGAAGAGTCCGACCGGTATGTCAAATTGTTTCCATTTGAGACTCTTTTTCCATTTCCCCCTTATCTCCAAATGATGACGACTATACGTTATACCCAGCTCACTCAGACGCAAATTGCGGTTGCTGAGAAAACGTGAAATCTACTTCTGATGGAATCTACACATACGCATCATTCTTTGCGCCTAGTTGGTTATGGACTCCTGCTAACCAAGCAAAGGGATGTTGTCACCGAGATTAACCGCAATGTTGCTGCCACATTGAAGGCTTGCGGGCCGGCCATTCTCAGCCAGAAGGGCTTGACCGAGCAGAGCATCACCGTCCTGGGCACACTTATCACCCGGTCCCACCCCTGCCAGCAGGATATGGGTGACGAGGAGGAGAACCAGACCGCCGAGGGCAGTTCCGAGTGGGACTGGCTTGTCGTTGACACGGCCCTCGATGTCGTCATCGGCTTGGCTGCAGCCTTTGGTGGCCAGTTCGCCGAAGTGTGGAAGATCTTCGAGAAGCCCATTGTCAAGTTGATCAGCTCACAAGAGGCCACTGAGCGCTCGACCGCCGTTGGTGTCATTGCTGAGTGCACGGCGTACATGGGAAGTGCAGTCACCCCATACACCAAGACTCTGCTGCCGCCGCTATTGCACCGCCTTTCCGATGAGGACAAGGAGACAAAGTCGAACGCTGCATACGCTGTGGGCCAGCTGTGCTACCACTCCGACGACAGTGCCACCTATCTCCCGGCCTATGGCCAGATCATGGCCAAGCTGGAGCCCCTGCTGCAGATCAGCGAGAGCAGACTGCAAGACAACGCTACTGGTTGCATGAGCCGCTTGATCCTTGCCCACCCGGACAAGGTCCCTCTGGCTCAAGTCCTCCCCGCCCTGGTCGACCTCCTCCCCCTGAAGGAAGACTACGAGGAGAACAAGCCGGTCTATGAGTGTATTGCTAAGCTCTGTGAGTCCTTGACCTCCCTCCCAAGATGCGTGTTCGCCAGCAGCTTGAGCTAACAAAAATCCACAGATGAGCTTCAAAACCCCACTATCCAGGAGCTGACTCCTCGCCTGGTCCCCGTCTTCCAGAAGGTCCTCGCACCCCCTGAGGAGCAACTGGAGCCCGAAACCAGAGAGGGCCTGCAGAATCTGGTGCGCAAGCTGGGTATTGCGTAAACATCTTTCGCTGGTAGAGAGCAAAGATACACATGGTACGAAGGAAACCCGAGGCTATATACCCCTCCCGGCCGATGACGGTATGATGGCATGACTATAGGCATGAGGCATGGGCGGAAGGACTGGTAGCGGACGCACATGAAGAGGAAAAAACTGGATGATATCCCCGAGTAGATAGATGGTCTCGACAACCGTTTTCTTTTGTACTTGCGTAGAGCATAGGGAGTCGCAGTCCACGATGATGACTGCCTCACCATGATGTGAAAGACACATCAAAGAATAGAGATGATTTAAATGTATCTCGCGGGTCACGGCGATTGTTGTCTGGCTCAACAACCATATACTTCAGTGTCCTCCGGGGACTCTTACCAGGCTGGTAGCGCAAAACAGCCTACACCGACCTGCATAGGTAGTTTGTAGTATTTAAACTTGCGCCAGGTCTTACAATCTGATCAACCAGCCTTGCCTGCTAGTTCACAGGCAACAGCAGCACTCGCTACAATCCGCAGCGCGGAGATAGCTCACGAGGTCGGCCACGTCAAAAATGAGATAGCTCCAACGCCCTCAGTAAGGCCTTGCAGGCACCGAGTCTTCAGTACCATGGCGTCGGCTTCACATATTGGAAGGGCAAACGGTCCTCTCCCAACCGGGGAAATCAATGAATCATAGGGGCATTCACCGTGTCACTCTGGTTCGCCAAAGCTGCTACAGGACCACATAGACCACCCCACCCGTCGTGGTGAACGACAAGATATTGCCACCTCGAGGAGCTTACTGTGTACAATGACGACCAAGCGCTTGCCAATGGGAGGGGCTGGCAGCAGGCTGACTAGCCGTCATTACAATGCAGCGCATCGCAAAGCGAGGCTCAAGCACCACGGCGTCGCGGCTATAGTCCAGAGGTATCCTTGGCCCGCTTGGCGATATTGTGCCTCCTGTCAACCTCGAAGTACATATGCACCAGCTCGTCAACTCTGCCGACTGTAACACACTACAATTCGTCGGCGCGCGGAAAGTACTAAAGATAAAACGCACAGCGAGGACTGTCAGTGTCTCGATCGGCCTGTTTCCAGTGCTGCAAGTCCGAAACCTAGCAGCGGCGGCGGCGGCGATCAAGGTGGGTGGCAGATCGAAACACGGGCGCGGCGGCTGGGTGGGTGACATCAAAAACGCCTCCCACACACTCGTCCCTGCTACTCTCCCCAGCCCTTCATGTGCGAGTACTGCTGTGCCTACGAGGTACGAAGTATGCATACCCCGCAACCGCTTTCGCGAGATCCTTGCCACAGGCGGGTACCATGCTGAAGCTCACTGGGGAGATCTTCCAGACGAAAGGTCGATCGGCTGACGGGTAGGATGGTAATGACTATATGATTCTCAATCCATTGTTGCGCAAATATCAAATGCGACGATTCTCATTTCGCATTCCGGGCGAAACCAGGGTAGTATCGAGTCCAAGTATTTACCTGAGGTAAGTCTGTGTAAATGGCCACGAGCACGAGGCATGGTCTACAGCTCCGTGGGGCAGGACGGTGCAAGATAAAGCTGATAGGTCCTGACAAGCGCAGAGCTCGAGCCAGTGAGCAACGCCAGCCAACCTGGCTCTGGATGCCCTTGTGTCCGTACTCATGGCGGGATGTCTCCATCGAGATCAAGACTCCTGGGAATGGAGAATACTTGGGATTATACGCCTGGTCCTGCTGCGGGGTCAACGGCTTCTGGAGATGGAGGTGTCACGGGTAGGATGAGCCACGTTTGTGTTAGAGGGTGCCCAGTTTTGAACTGTCGCCGGCCTTGTTTTGATGAACTTGACCCGAGAAACGTGTGGAAAGGAACGGTAATATCACTTGGGTAGTATAGCAGGAGGCAAGTAGATAGTTGGCGACGACGAATTGTCCAGAGCTGGGAAGCGGAAGTCTTAACGAACGCGGCATATGACTCCGGACGACAGGTAGAGTACAATATCTGGAGAAACAGAGAAACGAAATAGTCATTGCTACAGCACAGACTGGTAGACTGCACGGCTATTCCGAAGGCTTCTGGTCATATCGCTTATGCTGCTTGATGGAGAGTACCGTAGCAGTATGATCTTGCACGCGACGCTGCAATCCCAGGTGATCATGCAGCATTGCGTGCCAGTCGCCGGCGCGCCGGTGGTGTTTGACAAAGGTACGGCATTGAAAGAGTGCATCACATTATATACATAGAATGATCCTGTGGCGGCGAAAGAAGCTCCAAACGACCTTGCCGGCACGCATTGGCCGCCCTCTACCTGTCTCCCGCGGATGTTCTAACGCAGTTGGAATTACCTAGGAGGGATTGAATTCCTAGGAGAATGGTGGTGTTGGCTCTGTTGGGCAAGTCGTTAGCTTCCTGCAGGAGTGCGTTCCTGGTGCGACAGGCCAGGGTAGCAGGGAGGATCTCACCATAGGCCTGCACTGCTGCAAGTCGAGCGGAATACTGGTCGAGAGGGTCTCGACCAGGCCAGCCGCGAATCCGTGCTAGGCTCTTTTCAACTCAACACTGCAGTCTACTTGAGTAGCTATCCTAGTGCCTCGACTCTCCAGCTGTCGGTCAAGCAAGTTCATGACATCAGTGCGTCCGATATCAGCAGATCATTCTCCATACTACAGGACCAAACTCCCCGGGGGATCCTATCAAGCAGATCGAGTCGGCTTCCCTCCTTAACCATGCGTACTATGTAGACCAGCAATAGCCGATTGCCTGCTTGCCAGCCCCCCTGATAGTTTCGCGTTGCGAGGTTTCTTGACGAGTCTGAAGAAGGCCACAGGGCCCCGGACTGGAACAGCACTGGAGGATTGGCATCGACAAGCGACTGAGCCTTTTGGGGGTGTCGGTCCGAACCTGGGCATGGTCATGGTGCACCATCCCCTGTCCTCAATCTATAACGTTCCTAGAGCTTAGGTAGGTCAAATATTGGCACATACAAACCTCCATGGATCGGTGCTTATGAAGACGATGCTTCTTAGGCGCTAGGACAACACACACTGGGAGCAGTTGACTAGCCTGTAGCAGGACCAGGTGCCGTCCCTGGCTAACAATCACATCGTCACTCGTCAAGGGATATGAGAGGTTGGTGGTTTAGCTCGTCGAGCTTGGGGCGGCCCACGGCTGTGATCGGGACGCCATGGCGCCGCAAATGGAGACGTTGATCGAGATTTGTGCATCCGAATTTTGCTTCTCCTTGCTCAAGCTCCTTCCCCCAGGCCAGTTTGCAGTCGTCCCCCTGCTTCTTGCATGGCAATTGAGGCAGTGGATTGGGTGGATGTATGCGCTCCCCTGCCGCATTGGATGGTTCCTATCCCCTGTCAGCCGCCGTTCTTGGCAGTTGATGTGCCCATAATTTATAAGAGTCCACAAGAGCTTGTTCTTGGCCTAGGAAATATCTGAAACGGCCTCGACCAAGTACTCACTAGCGCCCAGGGAGGGTGTGTCAATAGCCGGCGGTGGGAAATGCAACCACATGTTTCCATATGAGAGTCTCCCTTGCGAAGACCGTGATGTTGAAGCAAATGCCTGAGCAGATGACGATTCCTTTCTCATCACTTGGTACGTCTGAATCGATCACATAGGATGGCAATGGACGGAAAAGACAACGAACCCCAGGAGAATCCGGGTTGCCTGCGGAGGTTCGTGAGACGGCACAGACATGGTCGAATAGTAATAATACCATGTCGTGCGACCCATGAAATACATGCACAGTAGCTGCGGACACAGGGTTTACAGTTTACGAACCGGGATGCAACATGGAGAAGCGGAGGGGTTATATCAGATCATTGCACCCCGACCTCGCCTCCAGCTATTTGACCTCATGGGTGCGAGGAGAATTCGTCGGAGAAGGAGCCGCCATGCAGCCGCGATGTAGGAGTTTTCCCGGTTGCTATGCGCAATGTCACCGCAATATGTGGTGGATAAATTGTAGTTTTATGTTCCGGGGCATGGGCCAGGACGAACAGTTGTAGTTACACAGCACGACTCCAAAATTGGCAGCGCGACGTCCTGTCGTGAGCCGCGGAACAACACGAGAGACCAAGGAAATGGGACAAAGCGAGTATGACAAACACCACGATGGAGTGTGACAGCTGCAAGATGCAGCTGTTAGGCGCAGGCCGCTCGCAGTCTAAGCAGTCTGGTGGATGGTTGTCGTACTCCATCAGGCGTCGCACATGGGATGGTTCCGCTTACATGACAGGATTGGCAGGATGTGACAGAGCCTGGCCGACATACACTTTGCTGGTAGGTTTGGAATTGAAGGCGAAGCTGCACGGATGAACCGCACCCATTGGCCGTCATGGCCGTCTGATCGTATCTCGAGAACGGGACAGGCGGCCTGACCCGGCATAATAGCAGCAGCTAACTTAACCAGTCAGCCGTCTGTCTGCCTCAGCCGCCACGCCGTGCACGCTGTACCCATAGCTGGGGCAACGTCCACCGGTCTGGATGTCGCCTCTTACGCGGACAAACGTGACATGTACCGAGCTAAAGGTCCGGAAGTCGAGAGGGCCTTGGCTTCCCAAGCACGGCTACTGCAGTGAAAAAGTCAAACGCCGTCTTTTGCGGGCTTGGGATTTAATGGATGGGCGTCTTGAGAGCACTCGAATCCCCCAGCTCAGCGCGCCCCTCAGTAGAAACTGGGTGCCGGCGGGCGGATGGCCCAGGTCCCACAGAAGCCCTGGAGCCCACCTACGTACCTAGGTAGTGGGTCCAGTGGATTCAGTGGAGACTTTGATGACTGCCGTTGCCGGCCGATCACTGCTGATCGGGCCCTCGGCATACTGGCATATCGCTGGCAAGCTGGGAGCCAGCAGGCCCATTGGCTGATGGCCCCCTCCGAGCTGCCAAAAACGGGCTTGAATGAATTGCTTTAGGTGCCTAGCTGCCGCCCGCCCAGCCTGGCAGACAGGCATCCCAAATCCACTGAGGGGGGGCCATGGTGTAGTTCATCACCACACCCCGGGGCCCAAGCCATCTTCTTCTGACCGCATGTGAAATGCACGATCGAAATGTTCATCGACAAACTAGATGCCATTGACAGATGACACTGCATTCTTGAGGGCTTGCGAAAGTATGTTGCCTGCAGGCATCAACGACGATCCGCCGCTGACAGAAGTTACGGCGGAACAAATGTTTATTATTTACTTCCGTTGCGTTCAGACGAGGTGCCAAATGCCAATATGTCTGCCGCTAAGCTTAACTTCACACGCGCTGCCGCATGCTTCAGTATTGGGTCCGCTTGCTCAACAAAGACAGGGCGTCTCGTGGCACCAAAGTCAATGGCAGATACAGGCAATACCCAGCTCAGTTATGGCCACTGTCTCGCAACTCAGGACGCTTCGCTCAGACTAAAGTTACTAGGAGTCGCGCCTCTACCAGTGGCGGTGCGGCAACCGACTTTTGAGCTGGAGGCTCGCAGTTCACGAGGGGTTCCCTCCTGTCTCAGGGCCAAACAACATTTGCTGGCGAATGGCCAACCCCCATGTGGATCTGTCCGAGAGTTGCAGAGTCGACACTCCATTTGAGGCCTTTTACCAGATGATGGCGGACCCAAGGATCACTCTATTCTTCACCTCAGTTCGGCCTTGCTGGCTGGACAAATCGTGCCTGTTGCGTCGTCTTATGTGGCCGTCATCCGGTTTCCACAGTAGCCGAACCTTCATGCCACGAAGCCTCGCCTCGGGGCTCGCAGCCGTCAACTTCGGCGTTCTTCTTCAGCGTGCATATAACTCACGTGTTGAGTCATCGAAAGTCAATTCAGTGTGCACGACACCACATGGTCTGCCTCAAGGATTTCGTGATGGTCAGCAGGGGGGAGCACCAAAGTCCAGCCGATTGTTTTCAGTGCCCAGCCATTGAACGGTCTTGAATGGCCACAAAGCAGAGGAGCAGATCATCCCTAGGTCGATTGTGTTTGTAGTTGCGAGAGATAAGCTAGGTACCACTGAAGGTGCCAGAGAAACCCCCCTTGTCCCCTGTGCTGGGGAGGTGTGTCCCTATAGAGAAACACGCCCAGTACATAGCATACCCCGGCCACTGCCGCTATGCCGCCCGTTTCTTTCTCCGCCAACCACGCCTATCCTGGAAACTAACAGGACGTGGACCGGGGGGTTGATCAGTTTACTCACCCTCTTACACATGTACATCCATTCTAGTCGAGGTTGGTGTGCTGTGAACAGCAAGTTGGACCGACACACACGCATGCCATGATAGGTTAGTTGGGCAAGGGCGGGGGGTCACTGATCTCGCTTGCGAGTACCATGCATACAAGTGGTATATAACCTGTGGCCAGCCAGCCAATGTCTCTTTCCTTCGATTCCTTCCTCCCGGTGTATTCTCTTCATCGTTTTTCCTACCTTCCCGCCGAAAGCAGAAGCAGAGCCGTTGAGAAGTCAGAAGCAATCGCTAGGAGTCTCCCCTGTTCGTTCGCTACATACTCTCGCTGTATACAATATCGCACAGGACATAACCGTCGTTGTTGTGTATCGGACCAGTCGCCACATTTCCTGTACCAAAGGTTCCATATATCTACAGCATCCAAGATGAAGGCTGTTTGCGTCGCGTCGACCCTCCTGGGACTTGCCCTGGCTGCACCTCAGGGTGTCACTGACAAGATTCCACCGGAGGGTGCTACTCCCGAGGGATGCAAGACCAGTCTCGATGGAAAATTTGAGATCACCGTCGCCCAGGTCTCTTATCAGAAGAGGGATATCCAGGTGAGTGCCCATGCGCACTGGTGTCCCACCGCACTTGGTTGGAATGGTTATTAACTTGTGACAGCCGCGTGCTGAGTGTGGTTCCAACGGCGTTCTGGTCATGTCTCTCAAGGATGGCCAGACATACGACTCTCTTGACCGCACTGGTTACATCGCTTCCAACTACCAGTTCCAGTTCGATGGCCCCCCTCAGGCCGGTGCCCTCTACACCAGCGGATTCTCCGTCTGCGAGGACAACCTTCTGGCCCTCGGGTCCAATAAGACCTTCTACCGGTGCTTGTCGGGCGACTTCTACAACCTGTACAACGCCCACTGGGCTGAGCAGTGTGAACCTGTCTCTATCATTGCCCTCCCGTGTGGCTCCTCCGACACTGCTGGTCAGATCGGAGATGGCCAGGTTGTTGGCACGACTGTCGTCCAGACCACCATCGTCACTGCCCTCCCCGATGGCCAGCCTCAAGTCATCACCACCGCGGTTCCTGTTCCTGTCACTTCCTTCTACCCGACCAGCGCTCCCGTGAGCCAGATCAGCGATGGGCAGATCCAGGTGCCGCCCCCGCAGACCGCTACCAGCGTAGCCACCGCCAGCGCTCCTGTCACCACTGCTGCCCCGGCCCCATCCGAGACTGGCTCCGTCTCCCTCCCTACCGGCACTGCCGTTCCCAGCTCGACGGTTGCGTCCCCAAGCGTCACTGCTAGCGTCCCCTCTAGTGCCGGTGGTAGCAGCTCATCCGCTTCTGCCAGCTCTCCGGCTGCTACCGTCTCCGCCCCTGCCTCGAGCGGATCTTCGCGCACCACTGCCGCCTCCCTGGGCGCCTTGGTCGTCGCTCTCTTCGCTTTTGCTTGCTTGTAATCGTAACTACTGAGTTCGGACGAAGCGATGATGGTAGAAGTCGTCGCATAATAATGATCAGTAATGCTGGGACGAAGGAAAGCAAAGTATGGCAAATGGGGCAAAGCCAAACCACATCCGTCGATCTATCTTGTCTTGGGTGTCTGGGAATGGTCTTCACGAACAGTAACGAAAAGGTGGACTTAATGAGCTGAAGTGGAGGAACGCACCTGTTGAAATCGGGTAATATCTAGTGCATATATTGGACATCACCTTTTGAACATGATCAACCATACCACAAGATATTCCCATCACCCGTTATGTACCCAAGGGCTTGTGAATGATGTATCCAACAACTCTGGTAAATTGCCCTTAGAATCATGCAATAACCTCAGCTATTTTGTCACGATGAGGAACGGTTTAATAAGTGGCTCGAAGCTGTGGTTGTATATGACACAAATCTGAGATTATATACAGCAGGACCTTCAAACATCACCCCTCCCTGCGCAATATTTACAGACGAACTAAAGCTAAGTGATTGTGACCCTAATTCTCCCGTCATTTCCATCACCGGCGGTTTCCATCGAATATCATCCTCTCCCTGCCATGAACCAAGAGACTTGCTCATGATCTTACACATCCGACAGTGAGTCACCTAGAAAGAGAGCGTAGCACCAGCGCTAGCCTTGACTGAAGCCTTGACATTGCCGGAGCCCAGCTTGCTGTATGAGTACGGGACAGACTTGAGGGAGCCGGCAGGGGCGCTGTTGGTGCTGCCGCCGAGGTTGACGTCGTTGACAACGGCATACCCGGTCTCGTCACTGTCGTCGCTAAAGATGGCCTTCGTGGCGGAGTTCTCGAAAACACTGCTCTCGATGAGGAGTTGTGCACCCATGCGGGTGTTGATGCCAGTGCCAATGATGTTGTAGTAGTAGTTGCTACGATTTGTTAGCTTTAGATACTCTTTCCCCATACGCGTCATGTTCATGCCTAACACAGAGCACAGGAGTTGTCTTACTTGAAAATGTGACCAGTGCCAAAGCGGAAGGATGGACCACGGCTGTTAATGTTCGAGAAGTAGTTGTTGGCATAGGTAACGGTCAAGTGTCCCTTATCCTCGCTGCCGTTGCTGTCAGAGTGACCGACGAGCGAGGCCTTCCAATGGTCGTGGAGGTAGGTGTTGGATATCGTAACGTAGTCACACGCGTGAGTGACGTCAATAAGACCATCGTAGTAGTCCTTGTCGTGGTCCAGGTCGCTCGAGACGTCGACGTGGTCGACCCAGACGTTCTTGGAAGCCTGGATGGTGATGGCGTCGCCGTTGTCCGCCAGTACCTTCGATATCTTGAGGTTGCGGACAATGACGTTGGATTGCTTGTTGATGTTGAGGCCAATTCCAGTGAGGCCTAGTTATGTCTTTAGCAACCGTTAATCTAGTTTGAGCAAGAGTTGCGACGTACTGGCTCCGGACTTTCCAATAATGGTCTTGTTTGATGTAACCTTGACCTTGGCAGAGCCGGAGATGGCACCACTTATGACCACTACGGCCTTGGACGACGAGCCGGCAGCAGCGGTAAATTGCGCAAGCGTGCTCACAGTGGTGGTAGTTCCACCAGTACCCCCGGTGGTGCCGCCGTTCTGCGTGGCATAGCCAACGTTGGCAGCATCGGTAATCGACGCTCTCTTCTCAACAGCTCTGGCGTCGAGGTGACCGTCCTCAGTGGGAGTTGGTGCGGCAGCAACGAGGCCGACCAAGGCAAGCACGGTAGAAGTAAACTTCATTGTCAAAGGCAGACCAGAAAAGAGACACTAGGAAGGGGGTGTTAGAAGGATTGAGATGTTGGTATCGATCACTTACTAGAGACCAATGTGCCCCCGACGACATTGAGGTTCTTATACATTTCTACTTGCAATAGTATCGGGATTGCTTCAACCTTCTGATCGCGAGCAACGTGCTCAGGAACCAATACGCGTGGTAACAGGTCCACGGCCAATACAAGAAATATTCCTCGAATAACAGCCGTTGTTTCAGTTTCCAGAAGTTATAGCCGTGCATTTTGAGCGTTGCACTGCAGCTGGGAACGTTGGCGAATCGCATATTCTCTACTATTCCGTGTGGATGGGGATGAGGCTCAGTACATTCGTGCTCTAGACGATTTCTCCGTGGCTGACCGTTGCAGGCACCAGAAATGTTTCTATACCAGGGTTCGTTTGCCCCTAAGGCTAGACCCTTGTTGTTGATCCTTGACATTCTTTGGATTGGACCGGTCACGCACAACCGTAAATGTACGTTGAGAATTCCATCCAGCAACTCAGTACCACGTTCAACTCCAGGCCAGCCCTTCGCCAGTTGGGGTCATCGTGACCAGAGCGGAATGTAAGCCGCCGGGCTAAGCTTCAACAACCTTGCATGCTCATGCACTCCGCATTACCAACCCCAGGTTTCTATTGGACCCCAATCTTAGGTAATCTCAGAGCGGGTGTGGCTTTTGTCTGGCATAGATAATCCACCCTGTATTTGTCAAAAACAAAAGCGGTAGTTAACTGCTAGGAGCGGCAATGCGCCCATTGGAGGGAAATTTGGCTAAAGGAGCACAAACGTCAATTTTGGACGACATGGCTGCTCTAGCTTGGAGCCTTTCACGATAAGTGCAAGGGTCCTTGGCTGTGTCCACAAAACCCCTATCCTCATCTTGCTGTGAGGCCGTCGGGCTCACAGACGGACTACAGTGCTCACAAGGTTTCTATTCTCACCTTGTCAAGTCGTAGGCTTATTTCATCTCTAAGAATAACGTCTCCGGGCCCTGTACAGACAGTTTTGGTTGAGGTTACAAGGATGACAAGTGCCTCCTTACCCTGCTGCCAAGGTTAATCCGTTTATCATACCAGCATTCATGCGTCCCTGTGAAGCGATGAGCGTGAGGCTTGCTGTTACCGTTGCCATAAAAAGCAGTCCGCCATAACCGAGGACGATCGATACTGACTGCAATCCACTGTGTATTGGCCTCTCTGTCCAAAGAACTCTGGTTTCCCAGGGTACACCCGCATACAGTCTTGCTACAAAATTCCACCAATCATAAAAGGGGATACAGGGTAGCTCTTAAAGTTGCCATCCAAACCTCATACCTACAGTATACAAGTTTGGGACTCAACATATAAAATTAGGATGAGGTAATGAGTTGATCATTCGGTGTATCATAGGAGTAGAAATGGACGGCTTTATGGCAACATTGAGTGACGTGGACAGCAGCATGCATACGCTTCTGCATGAGCTCCTGTGCCATCTGCAAAGAGAGACACATCAATTTACAATCGCCTTGACCTTTCTTACTTCTTAGCCTTGTCGTCACGATTTCGCATAACCTTCCACCTATAGAGAGCGGTAAACACTTTTTTTGTCTTATTGGCCTACGTAACGCTGCGGAGCCGTAACCCTCCTGGAGTCAAGAGCATCACATTGGAATATGTTTTGGAATAGGTGGAATATCCATACAATCGGGGACTATCCAAGTTGAAATAACACAACAGCGGGAATTACAGGTGCCGAATAGAAACTGTATGAGCTTCTCGTTAATTGCATGCCGCGGTGAACAATCTGGTTCGTTTTCTACATTTGCCCGCATTCCGTCATGGCTTTTGATACCAGGGATGACACATCGTGGCTGTAATATGAAAATACCTAGTCAAAGCCATCCTGAGAGAGCCTGGAGAACAGATTCAGACTACATAGTAGCAGCATTGCTGCCAGCTAGTGTCTTGAGCGGCCTAGTTCAACCTTTCCCCTCCAACTACTGACTCATTTTTCAATTTGCCTCTAGTCAAATATGTATACTTTTCTCTACTAATGAACTGACAAGTTTAGAGTTTCCTGAAAAGCAATTGGCAATTTCTGGTTCTCTACGCGCTCGTCATTCATGACTTCGCAAAGTCATTCTCACGGGACAGCCCGTCGCGCAAAGTCTGATCAAAGGACTAGACGAGCTGCATGCCATCCATGGATTCATCAGGTACTCCTAGCAACTCGATTTAGCGAACCATGGCAACCGTACAAAATCATAATGGAGAGTTCATGCGATCGGATTAAACCTTCTCCTGATCATACTGCCTTCCCAAACCCCGACTCAGTAACGGAAATTATCAAAGCGCCCCATTACAATTTGGGGAGCATTATCAAGTCTTTTGAGTCAAACAAACTAATGATCTGTTGCGCTGTAGCAAGCACTATTCTTTTTGCACCAGATGTCATCAGAGCGCAGGCGTGATCCACTCAAACATGAAACCGCATTAGCAAATATTGTTATTATGCTCGAATCCATCGCACTTTCGTCCTGATGTTTTCAAGTGCGGTTGACTGCGGCTTCCGTTGGGTTTGTTCAATAAAGTAGAACGTGCATGCTTCAGTTTCAAAGTGTTTTATGACTTACAGGCAAGCGCTAGTCGTACCAGGGGCCACCGGTGTGGTCGCCAAAGTCACAAATTAAATCCAACACCCTTCGTGAATCTTATTACCCTCCCAACCTTGACTGGTTCACGCGGATAAGTTTCGTCTCGTCGTAGGCTTGCTGTCGCTTCTTCATTTTTGGCTAGCCTCTCTTTGTCTACTTGGAAGCCATTCCCCCCTTTCGTTCCTTTCTTTTCATTTTACACGGAATTCCAAGTCGTGAATCATCAAGACAAGCGAAATGAAGCACTTTGTTGTCAGCGCCCTCGCCACACTTGCTTCTGCCACGACCTATAGGCTGACCGTCTTTGCACCTGGCACAGTCATTGACGGGGCCGATGTTGAAGCTGCTACTAACGGCTTCTATTTGGGCCTTCTCGAGCCTTCGACCTACTGCCCGTCCAAAGTCGGGACTTGCCCACCTGTTCAAGGGACCTTGGTCTACGAGGGCATGTCTGGCATGGCAGTACGTATGGTTTCGCCAGCACACGGTTTGGGGTGTTACTGGAGCGTGAGGCTAACTGACTCTGACACAGGTCGAAGTTCCTGGTGGTCAGCAAATCTATGTTGACTCATCTGGTATGGTCAAGTACACCCAAGCTCACTCGTCATATGTGCCCCAAGGAGCCTTCATAACGGGGTGGTTCAATAAGACTGTTGTCTCTTCTTGTGAGCCTGCCGTGCACGTTGTAGACTTCCTGGCAGCGGATGGCATGGGTTCCGGCGGGATACTTCTCTGCCGCGATGTGCAGAGTTTCATGGACGGTACCGGAGCGAGCTATCAACTGTTCGTGCAGACAGCTCAGTTGGATGCTAGCAGCTGTGTGCCAGCGATTGGCCTTCTCCAACATGAAAGTGCTGCTCAGTACGGCGCTTGGCAGTACACTTAGGTGCCATTAGCCACCGTGCATTGCTGTCATCGTATGCATGACGGTCAAACCGTACCCTGATGCTATCTCATCACATAACCCAATTCAACATCTAGGAATCACGCATGACCACTGTCGCTGGCCGGATTTTGGACGAGTATTTTATTTTGTGGAGTTGAACTTGGAGGCTGAACTTGAGTGGACTTCCTTTTACGTTGGTCTTGGAGGGCAGATATTGCGTAAGGTGTACAATGTGGCAGAAACCCAGGCAGAACGTGAGGCTACCATATTGTGGTCTTGGACGTAATATCAAATCCAACACATCCTCTTAGCAGCTGTCCTCAACCTTGGCCAAATATTTGGGAGATCAATGTACATGATCAGCGTTCCATAATCAGAGCGTAAACTTTCATCGCAAGGACAATCGCTGCACATCAAAACCTTGGTTATGATGGAATGCTCTGGTAATACGACGGCCACTATTCTTGTACGGCTGACGCACCCTGTATTCCAGTCTTAGTGGGAGCCAAATGTTCTAGCAGCTATATGTCACTGATCTCTAGTGCTGAGTTGCGTCATACTTCTATTGTAATTGCAAATACGCCTTTGCCATGGCCGCACCCCTCTATAAATAGGTTCAGGAAGCGAAACATGAGGAAAAGGAATATACGCACAAACACCACGGGTGGCAGAAGTCGCGCATGTTTGGAGATCATGTTTTCGCAATTGTACAGTAATCAAAAGACATCCGGCGCATAGTTTCGGGTTCTCCACTCTTCCCGGTCTCAGCTCCCGGAAGGATCTGAAGTTGGCCAAGCGGCGTCAAGTCTCGCATGTCTTTCATCGAGGGGCATTTGACATTTTTCCTGACGGCTAAGAAACACGATGTACGTATGCAAGTATAGTAAGTCGATTTTGAGCCGCTTTAGCCAACCCCGAACCCTGAACCCTGAATATATCGACATGATCTACCGTTACCAGCGATGTAGTAAGGAATTGATGGCGGAAACTCCTTGGTGATCCGTAGCCTTCCAACCTAATCCAATCTAATCCAACCCCCGGGTTGCTTTTGAGCATCCAGACAAGCAAGCCAAACATCACCAGTTACTCATGTTTGGCCCAAGCTAACGGATCTATAACCAATCGCCAGGCAGGTGGGGCGTCATTTTCAAGCGAGGGGCTGTACAGCCTCAGGTGCAGTGTGGCTCTATACCACTTTGAGATGATCTGTACAATCCTGTCGCCTGAAATGAATGCGACCTTGTCGCTCCCTTCGGGTAACCCTTATGTGATGCCCACTACGCAATTGCGAGGAGCCAAAGGATCGACCTGAAGCCCCCGATCGGTATCAGCGTTGAGCCACATGCTTCCATGTCTTCGCAGGAACGCTGTCTAGTGACCAGCGTGGTAACTCGGGTATACGTAGCTCACTTGGGCTCGAAGTTGTGGGGCCTATGCGCTGCGGCGATGGATTACTGGTGTCATCCTGGGGGATGTTGAATCATTCCTGGTTGTGGGACCAGAGTTCCATCGTTGATCTTGTTTGAAGGTGACGAATGCCTATTTTCGGGCGTGGGTCACCACGATGATTTTTAAGGCGCGATGTGCTTGGACGCAGCGGTGGAAGAAGTTGTTAGTTACTGGGAAGGCGATCCTGTCTCCTGCAAACCCAAGGGAGTGTACTGCGTAAGTCTGTCTGTCAATTGGGAAGCGAGACAGGGGTTGTGACCAGGGTTTTCGGCCGACGGTGGCGTGAGGACTGCGACAGAGTTGCAGGCTGTACAGAGACTGATGTCACCGGCTCGTTTGGAAGCTTGAATTCTACATCAGAGTCTCTTTTCCTTTCTTCCACAATTTTTTCAAGATATTGGGTTGGTATTATCTTTTTAATCCTTTGCATCGGTTCTAAGACTAGATGCTACCATGTGCCCTGGCACTATGCCATCCTTGATGCAAATGCTTGACTGCCTGTGAACTCCGCAGACCCATTGCCTCATGCATCTTAGAAAACAATTCGGTATCAACCCGATCGCTAAGTATGCTTCTCGCTAGTCTAGCCGGTAACTCCGGCTCCAGGCTCCAGTAAATGCAATCCCATCGATATATAGATATATAGATATAACCCTGATCCCCGTGAACGCCTCCAGGTATTGTGTTGGGCCTCGCCGGGCCGCTCTCTAAGTAAATCAGTCTCTTTTCTTCGAAACACGACCCGAACTCCATGCTGATGCAATGCTATTGATCACCGTACTGCCACGGCGTTGCCACCAAACATCCGTCCCCACATGCCTTTTCCCGTTCGTGCACGTTTCGCTTTGCTCCCACCATCCTGGAGCTCCCTCAGTTCCTCAGCGCTGATTTCGTAAGGTAACAGGTGGTCGCCCTTCCTGTGGCTCCGTATCGCAGCCGGCTGCGGTACATCCAGAACAATCTCAACAGGCGACTCGTAAAATTCGGCCTCGGCGTAGACGTAAGGGTCCTCCACGACTGAGACCGGGGTGCTGGACCGTGAGTGTTGTCGTGAGGAAATTGAAGAAGCATACGAGCTGCTGGAGCTTGCCGCCGAGCTGTAGGCAAGACCTGGCGGAGTTGAGGCGTCGTGCACCAAGCGAACATTCTCCTGCTCCATAACGACCGGTGGTCGCGATCTCGAACTGACTCGAGAGCTCGGAGGGGTCGGAAAGCGAGCAGCCGCAGCCCAGGCCTCGGCCTCGGCCCGCTTGCGAAGTGCCTCCTCCCTCTTGCGTTGTTGACGACGAGCATACTTGGCATCGATGGTGGCTCGGATGGGGGCCAAGAAAACATCCAGCTCTCGGTACAGATCCTCCTCCGTGATCCTCAGCTCCCAGTCCAGAAGAAAGAGGAGTTGCTTTTCCATCAAGTTGACCTCTGTTCGGCTGAACCCAAAGGTGCAGCTGTCAGTGCTGATGTTGCTGTAGTTTGCCCAGTGCTTATTTTTTGGAGAGCTGTCATTGAGATACTTGGCAGCCAGTATAAGCGCTGCCAGGAAGATTCGATGCGAAGTGCAACGCAGACCCTTGGCCATGGGCTGAAGACGGGACCGTAACCTGGTAAGGTAGACCAGCGTCGACATCAAGGTAGGGACCTGCACATTGGAAGAGACGACCAGCTGAGTGATGAACTCGTCGAGTGACGGGAGGGCACTGTCGTCGACCCGGATCGCCTTTGGAGACGGCGTCCTCGGTGGTGTCGGGGGTAGGTGTGATCTGTTAACGGGTGGCGGGGGCGGCATCATGCCCGGGTCACACTGTATAACGTCGCAAGCAGCCTGGGCCAGATATGAAATCATGGCGGTGTCCACCGGCTGGTATACGAAGTGGTCAAGAGCCGCGGCGTTGAGCTCGGCTAAGCTAAGCCCTGATATCGACGACGCCATGGTGGTATGTGATGTGTGATGTGAGCGGCTATATATTGTATGAAAGCCGAGGGGAGGTGTGGTACGGTTGCGGGTGGCTTGTTAGTGTCCAAGAAGGGACACAACAATACAGAAAGATGTGACGAAAGTCGAAATGAAAATCCGGGGAAGTACTGCAAGTGTGCGGGAAGGCGGGTGGTAATATAAGAACCAACTAGCCAAGTGCACAATGAGGATTGGGTGTGTAGTAAGTCGGAGTGACAGGTATCACGCGGGCGGTGTCGCTCAAGCCAAACTAGGGCGGCGTGATAGTACGTACACGCAGAGGTAAGCTAACGCTACCACTATGGCTGAAGGATGCTCAGATGGATGAACTGGGCTAGTCCCACTGATAAATGGGGGACTGGGACTGGGGCCCCTGCGTTGTGTGTTAATGGCAGATGCGTAAGTGGGTGACGCCAGTGTGGGCGAGGCTGAGCCAGCGCGTTGGGATGCTTTGGGCTTGGCCGCGATCGACGCTATGCAAGTGCCTGGGCTGGGCTGGACAGTGGACAGGGCGGTCCTGTGAGCAGTCCTGATGAGGGGCAGAAGGGGGGTCCAGGGGGTTGGCAGGCGCAGGGATGGTGGATTTAGCACCACCTGTCGGTCGTAGGGGGTTTTCCTTGCGCAGGGGGTCCTGGGCACGGCTTTGTCCGACCAGGGTGGTATTCGTCCTGCAGAGATGGCTCAGTTCTTGAATTCCTCGGATGGCGGACTGCGGCTGGTCGAGTAACCAAAGGATCCGGATCAGATCAACGGGGTCTCGCATGCAACTCGGAGCCTCCAGCGCGGAGCAGGCGGGATGTTGCGAAGCCGATGTCAGGTGTTGCCGAGGGTTGCTGCAAGTTGGGATGTGGCTGAGTCCCAAGAGACTGCTCACGGCCGAGGTTGCCAATGAATGGAAGGGCAAAGCAAGAAAAGAAAAAAAAAAAAAAAAGGCGAAGGCCAAGGCGAAGGCGAACTATTATGCAATAATCGCTACAAAACCGGTGGGATGCGAGCTTGATCCACAAGCGAATCCTCTAGTCAATAGAGAATACGAGTGAACGTGTGTGGTGCTTGACCGTCTCGTATTGTTGGGGGTCGGCAGAATGGAGCATCCGGAGCCTGCGGAAACTCGGCGGGCTTTGGCTGGTGATGCCTGAAAATCGTGAACGACACGTTGACAGACTGGCAAGACGGTGTGCAGTTCTTCTCCGAACCGGCAAGAGTCGGCGATGGGCTGGGTCGATTCTCCAGCGCCGTGTGGATGCACCAAGGGGAGAGAGAAGAGGGAGAACGCTGCGCTGAGGCGGTGTCAAATAGCCGGGGTGCTGCGCGACGAGATGGCAGATCACGGGGAGGCGAATGGCGAAGAGGACGCGCAAATAACCTCGTCACACTGCGGGCTCGGCTGAGTAAGGAAAATGCCACTGGACACAACTGCAAACACAATGCTTGTCGGCGGGCTGTTGAGATGTCTCCGATCTTCCCGTACCTGTCGGGCGGCACAGCCTGTTTTATAAGTTCTGCCTTGCGGTGAGTCTTGGGCGAAGTCGATGCTGATGTCGATATCGATCACTCTCAAGGGAGGGAAACAGCCTTCTTCCGTCTAGAAGGCTAGAAGTGCAAATGGCTGAAAAGATCGAATGAAAGGAAGCAAGGGGAGGGGAATTCCAAAGGTATGCTGATAATTAATTGTCGACAATTAGAAAAACGATTCGCACACGTCTGAGACTAGCCAGAGTCTGGGGGGGGGGCCCGATGCAACGCAACTCGGATCGTAAGCTCGTGATAAGTCGTCGCCTAGCGTGTCAAGGAGTTTAACCCGGTGGACGCTGTTCCGCCCTTTCAACGCACACGTGGAGAGGTCGTTTACTAGTTTGAGATGGAAAGGGCAGAGGGAGATTGCAAAAAGGGTGGACCGGTGTCATATATCTACTTGCGTCCCCTGATTCTACTCATACCCGCCGCCAGCACTACTGGCAGGATTCCCGTTTCGAGGTTTCTGTCTCTTGGGCCCTGCCCAGTCCCAAGACAATTGGGCCAGAGGGATGCTAATCTGGTCGCCAGCTCGAATCGCCGTGCTCCCGACACGCCCCCCCTACAGGCGCCCGATGCTCTGAGATGGCTGGATGGCCCGCGTTGCTGTCACTTGAGTGGTTGGCGCTTTGCCATGGCACGCCATGGGGACAGGAGTATCCGCTATGCGCCGCATGAAGCTCGTGATGAATGGCTAAAGATGCTGGACTGGCGAGAGATTTGCGGAGGGGCCATTGGCGGGAGTGGCCCAGAGACAGCGAGACGTGAAACAGACGATCCAAGCCTGTGGGATCCACTGGAAGCCCGCCACCAGCCGCAATTGGTAGGTCAGGCTGGTCAGCCAGTGGCCAGCGCAGCGCGCAGCCAATTCTGGGGGCCAGATCCAACCCCCAGGCAGCCAATCAATTCGTCGACAGCTTCTCAACCTCGAGCGGGAATCCTAACTGCCACGCCATGCCGGGCCAAACGGCTGGCTATCGTGGTCCAAGACCGCCGGCTAGTTGCTCTCATGAGTCCGCCTGCATGTATATACGTATATACGTATGTATTCTTGGAGCCAAGATGCCCTGTGTGAGAGCGGCCTTGTTGAAGATCGGGACTGTCTAGTGTCTAGTTTCCATACAAGTAACGTCTTGGTGTAAGACAAGTGGCCGTCTGCCAGTCACAGATCTGCAATGGTACCAACCGACGCCAGCGGCTTGCCTGGCAGGCCTGGGTTGTCGACCGCGAGCCGGACAAACCCCAATGTCACCGTTGCATGACCTTATTCAGGAACGAAGATCAGGGCACGGGCGATATTAAATCCAATCAATCTTGTCTCTGCCCAGTGTAGCATAACGTTGAATTTGGATATGTAACCGGCGTAATCCCTAACTCTTAGTGGGCCACCCAATATGTAGGAAACTCGTACAGGGGGCTATGGCCGTTGTGAAACGAAACATCCTCATGTCCCCCAGTCATTCGCAGTGCTTGGCCATCGATGGACGTTTTTCATGCCCGCCAACCTGCTGGGCCTGCCACCAACCGGCACGAGTAGTAATCCACGACTCCCTCTGGCGCGCCGCGGCGCGCCACCGTCACGACTCAAGAAAGCTCAAAAGCAGAGACGAGGCTCGAGATATGGGGCAATAGAAGCAATGCTACTCCAGCCATGGGAGTTAGCCGCGTCCTAAACAGGCAACTCTCTGGCATACTTGTGAGCTTAGCATAGGGGCATGCAACTACTATGGTATATGTATTGATGCACTGCGCATGTGGCGCAAGTTATCGCCTTGGTGGCTTATTTGATGTGAACCACTCGACCCCTATTTTGTAGTTCTCCTTTAATTGATCCCGAGTTTTCGACGCAGGAGCTGGCCCCACTGGACACTTGTCAGTACGTACTGGTACTGATGCGATAGGGGAGCGTCAATGTGCTGCCATACGTGCATTATGTGCAATCTTCTTTAGGCTTCGTATAGGAATACGCCTTTATGCGTGCACCTGGCCGGGCCTAAATTGGAGGATATCGTTACGATGCATAGACGTATGGATGTTCGTGCTGGCCACGTGGAGAGACTCGGATTGCACGATCGCTGTGGTTTGCCCTGTCCTCTTCGGCGATCTGTTTCGACACAGGCCCATATGGCTGGGTGATTGAGGGTTTACCACTCCTCTCCGCGGCGCTGGCGTGTCCTCTGGAATGTGTGCCAATGCGGGTACGTCTGGGTTTTCGGCCATCCCTCTTCCCTTACATGCGTCTATATCCACAGCGTTCTGAGTCCTCAGTGACCATCTATAGACCGCATCTTGTTCTTCCTGACTCAAACCCTGGTCCAAGTAAGGCGCCCCCGCATTCCAGTGCATGAATACCTTCAAGCATCCCGCTTCACGAGGTGAAAGACACCAGAAACGAATGGCTGAACTAGGCCTCCTGGGCTCCATTGGGACTGGAGATCAGATGGTTGAGCCTTCATCCGAGCCCCGGTGCTTTTTCACCGCCAGATCGCCCTACGAATCTTTGTTGCCCCACGATTTGGTTCGGCAACTATGGCCCTCGCTAGCTTGGCAGTATGGCCTGGCTAATCCATCCCTGGAGTCCTCTGCATCGGAGATATGCCGTGACCCCTCCTCCTTGAGCCACCATTGGCCCGAAGGATCACAAACGAAACGTCCCGAGTCAGGCCTCCTACTCCAATAGCCGTAGCCCGTTCACGCGCTGTCCTCACTGCGAACTTGGTGGGTGACCTTGTGGCTATGGCGTCCATATTGCGACTTTGGTAAGACATTCAGTCACCAGCTCTGTCGTCGCTGGTGATGCGTGTCTCAATAATAGAGGCCTCACGCGGTAAAAGACACACGATCATTCTGGATACAGACTGCACCAAGGACATGACCTGCTTGCATGCGTCTAAAAACAATGATTATATGCGCATTGTATAATTCATGATTCGATGCGCATGGATTTTTGGCTATCCAAGCTAAACTGAATATGTAAGTCCCGGTGTTTACCGCTAAGAGCTTCAGCAGGACAGGGGAGGGCACCAGCAGCCACAGCCACAGGGTCAGCGAGTGCGAGGTTTGCACTTCAACCTTCGCCCATGATGGCGTAGCTTTGATTCATTATGGCTGTCCAAACCATGTGCAAGCCCGGAAAAGGCCGACGAAACTTGTGGGCACCTCTTTTGCAACACGAAGCCTCGGATCCCGAGCCCGCGACAAGATGCACTCAAGATGCATACTATGTTTACGTAGGCCCAATAAGCAGCGAGAACGCTCTGGCCACTGGCTCTGCCGCGGCACTGCCGAGTCCAAGCCGTGGGCTCCCGACGCCCGACGACATTCTAGATCGTGAACCTCTCGCAGGTTCCGTAGCATTGAAGGCTCAAGCTCATCTTTTTCTATGCCCACGAGTATCGAAGGTCTTACTACAGTACCTCACTTGTGCTTCAAAGCCTGCGTATACCGACAGGGCTCTATGCTTACTTGTGCAACAGCGGCCTCTCATACAAGGTGGACTCAATGTCTTAGGGCGACAGCCAGGCAAAGGCAAGACGCCATTGGCGCTCTCGTTCGCATATAACAAGCACCAGGATCCAAATCGCAATAGCTAGAGCTACACCCTTTCCATCATGATAGTGGAGGGCATCAAAACATGTCGCCGGCCCGCTGCAGCAGCGTGGCTGAGGCGCCTGCCTTGGACAACGGGCAAGGCTCTGGCGAGTCACCGTTATCCAATACCACAATTTCTCCATGCATCGCTTCTGTCTCACTTTGCGCGATGGAATTCTGCAGCAGTGCTTTTCGCAGTCTGTCTGGGGGCCAATTCAAGCGCTCTACCCTAAGTTACCAAGGATCCCGGCCCCGCAAATTATCAACGGCCCCGGCCAGATACCCAATTAAGATGCTTACCGCGCACTGTTTTAGACAAGCCCCTCGCTCGTTGTTCCCAGCCAGCCAATCGAAGGCCTGCTCTCAGCTGCGGCAGCACAGCCAATTACAGAAACGGGATCGGAAGTATGTATTGCGGCGGCACCGGCTCAATCCGTCGCTAATTTTGACCTGCGGCAGCAAAAGCATGCTTGCAAGGCGGTTATCAGACGTGCCGGTGCGAGGAGATGCAAAGAGCCGCAATAAACACAAGGACAGACATCCCAGGACGCGGCGTCCATGTTTCAAGTTGCGCCGTGTGAAATTGCCATTAGTAAAAATAGTAGCCGGCTTGTTCACAGACAGTGGAGGCGCTTCAGATGGCAACGTTTCTTTCATTAGATGGGCATTTCTCTGTAACATCCCTGTCATATCGTAAGTGACCCATTCATCTCACAAAAGTGTGTATTCAAGAATCGGTCTTGCAGCAGCCTTTAGACGCCAAGTTGCTCTGATCTACTCGACCTAAGATTATAGCAATCGTGCCAAGCACGACTCAATCACGGTGGAAACCTGGTGTTATTGCGTCAATATTTACCGGCCCCGAGCAATGCTTGTTTTTGTGAACTGGGGATAGCAGCAGCAGGCGTAAGGGGCCATGGATTCAACCCACTGCTGTGCAACCGAACTGACTGTCTAATAGTCAGCTATTGGCTTGGCGTTTGTCAAGCGTGTGAAAGTATGCGTACAGGCTTCCTGAGAGTGGCGCATTTTTTGACCTGCGCTCATTGCCGGAAGCGTCTTTGACGACTCTATCTCCTAGCCTCACGCACCAACAAAGGTCGCCACGTAAAAGGGTCAGACGGGCAAAGAACTCGATGGCCTCCCTTGAGGGCTGTTGGATTGCCAACGGCTCATATATTGCCTGCTAGTAGCTTATAATGAGACAAATCCCAGTGGGAAGGCAGGAAATCCGGAGTGCAGCATCAATTGAAGAGGGATCCAGGTCACACATCTATATTGAGCGACAAGCAAGTATCACGAATTGTCTAGTGTATATCCATGTATGTGTGGAATAGCCGTGGCGTGCTAGTACGGGTATGTGTGAAGCCTTTTGAGAACTGGTCGGATAGGATACGCGCTGTAAGTGTCGCATACCACTGCCGACTGGCAGCTTGGAAACTCCCTGATACACTGCGGTACCGACACAAGGTACCATGTTTCTTCCACACTCTAGTGATATAACAACAGCTACATTGCGTCCTCCGACCTGGATTCTTGTAGTAGTTTGCCTACTACTAATCAGACCGTTGACAACCTGTACCCCAATGTATCATAATGAGCTGTTGTGCTGTCAAGTCGCATTCTGCGAAATTCATATTCCTTCCCACATCCACTTCTTTGCTCAACACGTGAATTGCGGCTGTGACACGGGAGACAAGGCTACCAGGTTGAATGATGAATATTAACTACTCAACTATCTGCGAACAGTGTTGACCAAAAGTGCTTGATCGTGGTGGAGCGGTATCTCGTAGAAGATAATCTACACCAAACCTGTCTCAAATATTGCCCATAATGATGTCAGCTGCCCTCTGTGCAATGGCATACAGCATAGCCATTGGATGACTCGTGATCTGGAATGGTAACGTGCCAGCATCCACGACTCGCAGACCCCGGACCCCATAGACCCTACAAGTTTCAGCATCTTCCAGATGTGATAGCAGGTTCTCAAGAAGGGCAACAGCAACTTACCGTAACTTGGCATCTACAACACCACCCCACTCCCTCTTCATCATAGCTGTGCTTCCAATCCAGTGACTCGCACCAAACGTGGTGCTCTTGTACCAGGCTAAGTACTCCTCATCGGTCCCATTTACCCCGATATGCGGGTCGTAGTACGAGTCCTGGACAACTTCGGCGAACGGCATGCTGGAGAAGAGGTCCCGAGACCGTTTTGCAAGGGCCACACCAACAGCCTGATCAAAAGAATCCGTGAGCAGTCTTGGCGTGATGATGGGGTCGGAAAATGGATCTGAGGCGTTGATGTGGATATGTCCCCGCGAGAGCGGCATCGAAGGCCAGAAGGCGGCGAAGAGTATCGTGGGGTAGGACTCCGCCACGAATTCACCAACAGGCACTGAGATATTTCGTTAGAAGTGCTGCACTCGAGACTCGACGCAAATGTAGGGGACGTACGCCTGGAGTTCAGAATCAAATCGATGGAAGTATTCAAGACACGCTGAGCGCCCTCCAGAGTTGCAGCAGAACCAGCATTGACTAAAGCATGTGCCCGGCTGATCAGGGCCTCCGTTGATACAAGGTCACGCACGTGCCGAGACTCATTTTCGGCATCATTAAGCCCCTGAAGTCAGCACTATGACCCCACCGCGAAAGGAAAAGGTACACCTACCAGCAGCCCAGAGCTCATCCACATTGACCAGGCTGATTTCAGGGGCGAAGAGATTCCTCCCGTCAATGAGACCCGTATCGTTCCATAAGTCTTTTCGCACCAGGGCAGACGTTCCCGTGCCAGGCTGATCATTGAGATTGGCACCGACACCGGGCAGGTCAACAAGCTGACTTACACCAGCACGCTCAAGGATATCGCCACGGCCTATTCCTGAGCGTTCGAGTATGGGAGGAGTTCCGAGGGACCCGGCCGCCAGTATGACTTCCCTGCTCACGTAGGCTGTCGATGTCTCGCCTGTTGGACTCGACGCAAATGTCACGCCGGTGGCTCTCAGGCTCGAGTTCAAGACTACCTTGTCGACTTTATGGTCTGTGAGGACAACGAAGCTCGCGCGTTTCTGGTCAGGTGCCGACAGTAGTGCGTTGGCGGCCGAAGAGCGGCGGTTATTGCCGCTGACGGGGTCGTACCAGATAGTCCATGAACTGGAAGCCGAGACAATGGATGAGCGGTTCGAGAGGTCATTACCGACTGTCAAGCCTGGGAACACTATAGGTAGGGCTTGCTTATATATTACTTGTGCTTTCGGGATGCGCATCGGCGTCTGGCAGTTGTGTTAGGAAGGCCATGCAGTGGAGGAAAAGGGGTGCTAGAAACGGCAGGGTTCCAAGGAGTCAGCAACGGCGAGACGCACCGGGAATGAGACGTTGACGACTCCAACATAGCCATGCACATCAGGATCATAGCCTGCACCTTGCTGGGATTGAGTTTCATCAGGGGGATGGAACTTCTCGATTGCTTGCATGTACTGCTTGTCATCAGCATTCTCACAACGCGATTCCACTCGTCACTGGACTTTGCACACACTCACAGGTTCCAGCGCAGCCCAATTCCACCCGGGATTCCCAAGATCTTGCAGTTTATTGACCTCTATCTCTGTTGGCCGGTACCACACCATCCCGTTTACTGACGTGATATTCAGCTTTCTGCAGTGGATACCATTATCTTTGCCTTCTGGCTGTGTGCAGCACTTACTTGACGTTCCACCCCCAACACACTTGCCAGAATCGATTTCCCAATCTAGACGAACCCCAGACTCATTGTAAGCCGGATAGCGCCAATTGCAGTAACCATTCAAGTCACCACGCTCCTCGGCATTGTAGACGGCTGGGTTCCAGCTCGGATCAGGCCCTGCCTCAATCAACAGCACTGAGTGATTGGCGGCGCTGAGCTGTAAAAATAGTAAGTGAAAAGCATAACGACAGCCAATTCAAAGCAAGGGACAGCGGCTGGTTTCTAGGGGCCTGGATAGAGGCACTGGCACAACAAAATGCAGCTATCGGTTCGGAAGGAAGGAAGGTCGGCGCTGCACGGTGCTGCATTACCTTGTTGGCGACGGTGATACCTGTCAGACCCGCGCCGACGATGATATAATCAAACCTTCCATCGGCCAAATGAGCCGTGTCGTTGGTGATAATCGTAGCATGGGTTGTGGTAGCGACTAGGAACATCAAGGCTACGATCAGAATCGACGTGCGAAACACGGCTCGGGATGACATTTCGAACTAGGTTCTTCATTCAATCCTCGTTAGAAATTCTCAGCCAGTGTACGTCGAGAAGAGTAAGCCTAGTTATCATTTACATTACCACAATGTTTGAGAATTTATACCGCTAACAACGCCTGCTACACAGCCGTCCCCTCAGCATGGCCTCGCACCGAACCCAACCCCGCCCTCGTCTCCTTGGAGTTTAGGGGCATTTCTTCTATTGGCCGTGTTGCATGCATGCCACAAAGTTGCATCGAGTGAGATAGAAGCCAGCCCGAGTAACAAGAATAGGGCCTTGCGTAAACAAGTGCGAGGTAGGTGCAAGTGTACACACTATCGCCATTGGGAAAAAGGAAGAAATATCTGAGTGCAGTAGCGTTATGTCATTACCGATCCTCTAGTACTAAATACACATGATGGCATCCGCCGGACGAAAACAGTCCCGCATGATATGCTGCGAGGTTTTCTCTGCACGCTTGTCCGACCAACGCATGCTGAACAGCCCTGAACTCCATGCCAAACTGACAGATGTGAATCCCTCGTAATTATGGAGATGCGGGGTCGGTTGCTAGCCCTCGCTCAGACCTTGGTGTATCGCTACTCCTGTATACCTCCCTGCCCTCCATATTATACCGTACCAATCAACAGGTCTCCTCATTATCATGAACTCGAATGTGCCAATCGCCGGTGCGCTCCTCCTCGGAATGGGCATGAGCAACATGATGTGCTCTATGTGATGTATGCTTCTCCAACGCCGTGACAGAGTCTGTCCGGATGAATGTCGCCGATGCTCGCAAAAAAGTGGTATATATGAACGTATGTCGAACGCAACTCGTGAATACAAAGCCGTGATGAGGTATCTTTTTATCGCAATGGCTGACTGTGTCCATGAACGCCAAAGTTGGAAGGGGGTTCAAAGCTCAAACTTGCTTTCTGGGTGTATCTCTGTATGTGTGTGTGTGTGTGTGTGTTTGTGTGTTTGCGGCTGTGTATGCATGTGAGAGGATGTCGCAGCTGGTATCAAGCCTGTCGGCAGCGCAGGGTCAAGATGTTTCCTAGTTGTCATCGTTGTCATTGCCAGCCGTCAGACGCTGCACCTCGGAAGGATTTAGTAATATTCGCCGGCCGAGCTCTTCGGGGTTTTTGCCATCGCGTACAGCGCCAAAGTCGAGAATCTGATGACAATGAGTTAGTTTTACCTGTAAGTCACCCAGTATAATAGACATGTTGAGGACTCACCTCGACGTATGTGAGCGAATCCCGCTGGACGGCGGCAACGCAGCGGCGCTCGTCAAAGCGTACCTGCCAGACCCCACTAAGGTCCGTGAGCAGATCCTGGATGCACTCTCCCGTCCGAATGTCCCACATCTTGAGGGTCCTGTCGCTGCCACTGATGACCTTGCGCCCGTCGTGCTGGAAGCAGGTGATGGCCCCCGTGTGGGCCGTCAAGGTGGACTGGCATCGGCCGCTCTCAGGATCCCAGATGCGCAGGGTAGAGTCAGCTGCAGCCGATACCAGGCGTTCGTCACGCAGATCCAGCAGGCCGACGAGAAGGGTGTGGCCCTCGAGGGTGTGTGTGCAGGAACCGGTCTCGAGGTCCCAGATCTTGACGTAGCTGTCCATGCTGCCGGAGATGCAGCGGTTACGTGCCGTGTCCAGGACTACACTATAGACCTTCTGCGTGTGGCCCTGGAGAACGTGGACTGTCTCGCCGGTGCTGATCTTCCAGACACGCACCGTGTTGTCGTAGCTCCCACTGACCAGCGTATCGGCGTGGGCGGCGATGGCGCGTACGGAGTGCGCGTGGCCATGGAGGGTGCGGATGAAATAGGGGCAGTCGGCGTCATTAGCTGGCGGGCCTGTCTGGATGTAGCGGCGCGAATTGGGCTCGGGTAGGCGCCAGACGCGGAGCTGGCTGTCGCGCGAGCCTGTGATGATCAGAGGCTTGCTGGGCATCATGACTGGTGCACCATTCTCCACACGGCCCGTGTCCGTGGGCATGAGAATCTGCAGGCACCGGACAGTGCTAGTGTGACCGTAGAAGACCTGACTGCAAAGTCCCTTCTCGATATCCCATACACGCACCGAGCGATCGGTGGATCCGGACACGAGGATGTTGCCTTCGTACTGCAGCGCCCAGACGCCGCCCTCGTGCCCCTCGAGCCGCTTCCGCAGCTTGCCCGTTTTGGTATCATAGATGTGGATGAGCTGGTCGTCGCTGCCAGTGATGATCTTGTCCTCGTCAAACTGCAGGCAGGTGATGACGTGGCGAGGGTGTGCGGCAAAAGCAACGTGGCTCGGCTTCACCTTGCCGCTGGTCCAGCTCTTCCGGATCATGTAGTGTCGGCGGTAGAGCGACTTGAACAGGTGGAGCTTCCGCAGCGATGACAGGCCGATGTGCGGGTCGGGCACGGCCACGGCGGCGGCGTTGGCGGCCGTGATGGGGCCTTCGGACCGGTGTGTCTTGACCTCGAACGACTTGTCCTCCCGCTCCTTCTCCCGGATGACGTTGTCCTGGGCGCTGGCGCGTCGCTTGTATCGATCCGAGCCGAAGTTGTTCAGAGCTCTCTTACGCTTGGAACTTCGCAACTTCTGAGGCGGCGGGTCGGGCTTGGTCGCGCGCAGCTCGGCCTCGCTCGCTGTCAGTCGGTTCTGGAGACTCATGTCGCGCTCACAGCCCTCGGGGCCGACGGGGTCCTGCCAGCCCCATCCCTCCTTGACGGCCCGGTCGACCTCGCCAGGCGGCAGGGTGAAGCCGTCGCGGTCGAGCAGGTCCTTCCAACCCGTCTCGTCGCTGTCGATGATGTTGCGCCACGTCTTGGAGACCTGGGCCGCCCGGCATCGCTCGCGGCAGTCCAGGTAGGATATGATGTGCAGCGTGAGCTCCAGGGGGAGATCCTTGAGAATATCACACTTGAGGGCCGGGTTGACAACGCCCGCAACCACGTGGAGGACCTTCCTCGAGCATCTGCGGAGCAGCTGGTACATCATGAAAGTCTTCATCTCGGCGGGCATGGCGTCGAAGGTCTCGAGCATGGACTGGCTGTCCATCAGGCCGGACCTGGCCGCCTGCGAGGAGCCAAAACGCTGGAGGGCGGTCGGCGTCGTCTGAACCAAGGCCGAGGACTCACCGTACTCGTCGTCCGCCATGTTCTGCCCGTCGTCGTTGGCCAGGACCGACAGATCCTCGTCCTCGTCCTCCCGATCGGCCGAGTGCAGCTGGGCAGCCTGCAAGGTGGGGGACAAGCGCGGGCTAGGCAGGCTGGCATCCTGAGCAGCCAGGGTGTTGATCGGGCGCGGGTGGTGCAGGGCCCGGATGGACTGCTGGAGGGACTCGTCGGCGTCGGTGAAGGGCTCGACATCGGCGTCCGTAACGGGAGGCGTGGCCACGTTGCTGCTGAAGACGGTGTGAGAGTCGCTGCCTGAGGGGCTGGATATGTTGAAGTACTCGTCCTGGGGCACCTGGCTTGGATCCGAGTCCGGGGTCTCGAACGTGTCCAGGTTGGAGCGTCGGAGCCTTAAAGGCGGACGGCCCGGGCCGCCGGCGCTGGATCCTGCCAGTTCGGACGTGTCCGGAGTGATGGGAAGGCCGACGCCAAGCCTGGCGCTGCCGTCGTGGTCGTTCTCCTTCCGGGCACCGTTGGCGATGGCTCGCCGCAGCTTGTCCGACACGGCACTAGCATGGGAACGCGATGACTTGGAGGCGGCCCTCTTGGCCATGCCCCTGGCGCTGGGAGAGGACGAGCGCGTGCTCATCTTGTGGGATCTGCGTGCGGAAAGGTCGGGCAGGGTCCTGGAGGGCCGTCGGCGAGGTTCCGAGTCCAGGGCAGGCTCGGTCTTGATCTCCTGGCTGAAGCCATCGCTGGCGGACTGGGAGGACTGGAAGGACTGGAATGTGGCGTGTCGCCGGTCAGCCACGGGAGGGAAAGGGGGATGAGGGGAAGCGTGGGCAGGCGAGCGGGGAGCGGGCTTCGCTAAGGCCGGGGTGGAAGAGGAGAGAAATGTGAGAAGAGAGGAGAAGGGGAGAGGAGAGGAAGGGCGTACCTCGTGATGGTCAACATCGGTGTCTGTCGGCCACGAAAGCGAGCCGTGCTCGTCCAGGTCAAAGGTGAAGTTGGCCAGCTCGGGGGGCGTCGGGCGGCGGGCGAGAGGGTACTCCTTGGAGTCGAGGGACAGCAGGGGCCGGGGCTCGCGCACGAACATGGGCGGGAAGGCCCTCTTGGTGGTGGTGGTTGTGGTGACGGTCTTTGTCTCGATGCACTCGGCAACCTCAAACTTGATGCGGGGATGGGGCGAGAGCGAGTCGGCGTCGTCCCAGTTGACCGAGACGGTGGTCTGGCTGGAACGAGGGCGCGATCTCGGCAGCAGTTGCGAAGGCTGCTGGTCCATGTCGACGGTTTTGACCCTCACAGTGCCGTTGCCGACTGCATGTGTTTTGTTCGGGTGGTCGAGGGAAAAAGGAGTCGGTTTTGCCCTGGTTATCGTTCTGCTTCTACTTCTGCTCTGTCGGATGGGACGAGTGGTCGTGCCGTGCAGTGTAGTACGTTGTGTGAGTGCGTTTCCGTCGTCGCCCCAAATGTCGTAGCAGGAGTTGAAGTCGCAAGGGAGCGTGCAAGTGGGTAGTCGGCCAACCTTGGGCACGTATCCTGTCGTTCTTTCTCGAACCTGTGGGTGGCGGGCGGAGCGGGACGTAGAGAGAGGGAAGGGCAGAAAGCGAGACAGAAGAACAGGGACGCTGTATTGCAGCCGGAACAGAAACGGCCGAGGACGTGGACGGAGACGAAGGCGACGCCCGCCGGTGTCGTGTGTCGTATCGTGTCTATCGTGTCTTCTTATCGTGTTCTTCAAATGTCGTGTTGTCGTGTCGTGTCAAGGAGATCGAAGGATTGATCGAAGGGGGCCGTCGAGGTTGTAGTTTGCTCGTGGTTTCGGAGGGGGGCCTGAACCGTGGGCCTGGGTTGTGTTTGTGCTGGCGGTGGGCCCAGACGGAAGATGGGGAACTTTTTGGACCTGGCCAGGGACTGGGACTGGGACTGGGAATGGGGATGGGAATGGGAATGGGGATGGTGAAGGTGGGATGGAGGGAGGCGAGGCGGACTAGTAGAGGGAGGAGGAAGACTTGAGGAAAACTAGTTCGCTAACTAATAGGCACACTATGAACGAGCAAGTACCACGGACAGGGAGCACGACCACGACCACGACCACGACCACGGCCACGAGTAGGTGTGCAGGTGGCAGTCGCTGCTCAGGCATGCACTGTGAACAAGATGAGTTGAGAACTGGGCTGGTAGCGTGCCCTTTTGGTCCGTCCCAGACTCCTACTCCTACATAGTTACATGGTAGACTCCAACCAAGACTGCTAATAAGGCTTGCCCGCCCACCAGCCAGCCAGCGACAGGGCAGCGCACGCGCGCGTGAGCCATCCCATCCACCCATCCCTCTCGTCCATCACACGTACGTACCTGTATCTGTATCCAATCCATCCCATCGGACGGCAGGGCAGGGCAGGGCAGGGCAGACAGTACTGGTACCGGGAGTACATACACGGTAAATCCGCAGCGCCCAACCAGGCCAACCAGGCCGACATGGAAACCCCCTACCCCTTCCTCTTCCGCCCCAGCCCCAGCCCCCGCGGCCATTAGGGATTCAATCGGGAAGCCAGTGCCCGCCAACAGCCCGCCAGCCCGGTGGGTCGTTCCAGTCGGCGGCACTGTCTCTTCCTGGCGTAGCCGCCTGCTTGGGACCCAGCCGGGCACCTGGAGATTTTGAGTCCCTTGACCGCAACGACGGAGGCACTTTCACATCCACTACGGGTTAGGAGGGCACAAACACTTTGTCGTCACAGTAGACGACGGATGGATCCCGGACAATAGAACGGGCGCTACCCAAGGTTCGCCAGCAACCAACATGCAACAAAAACAATAGCAACAAACCGACCCATCTGGAAAGGAGGTGACTTGGGACTGCAGGGGAGACCAGGGGCCAGTGGCTTGCGACTTGTTGGACCGCCGCCTCCCGCGATTTGTCTCTCCTCCGTCCGTGAACCTGATTCTGATTCAACGCGTAAAGTGCTAGTCTGGCCCGTTGTCTCTCAACTGGCGTTGGCAGCGTTGGTTGGCGGTTGGAACAGCGACGACCGTGAACGAATGTGGTCCAGCGTTAGGCAGGCAGGCAGGCAGGCAGGCAGGCCAGCAATCATAGCCCAGTCGCACCCAAAGTAGA